GTTAACACAACAACCGGTCAGACATCTGTTTGACCCAACAAAACAAAGTGTGCTCTATACCGATGCCAGTACTATTGGTATAGCAGGCATACTCACTCAAGATAACCACCCAATTGGCTATTTTTCACGCAAATTATCTAACGCTGAAACCAGATATTATGCAACAGAACTCGAGTTGTTGGCACTTTACGAGTCAATTCATTACTTCCGCATATACATAGAGTCAACCAAATTTACAGTATATACGGACCACAAAGCTCTTCAATGGTTATCAAACTTCAAGTCAACCAAAAAAAGACTTTATCGCTGGTCAGATGAACTCAGCACATACGACTTTGAAGTCATCCACAAACCAGGCAAATACATGGCTCATGTCGACGCCTTATCACGAGCACCAGTCTGTAATTACATTTCAGACACAATAATCATGCAATCACAACAACTGGCAATCAAAGACAATGATAGCTACACTCCAGTTGTCAATACGTCAAATAACATTAATTCATCAAAAGACCCGTCAGTTGTTTCAAACACTCAGATGCCTCAACAACAATTAGCCGATAAATTATTCACTAAACTGGTTGATCAAACAAACACTACTGCATTGCAAACAAAACGACTATTTGGTCGCAATCTCATAGTTATACCGCCAAAATTGGTATCACAAATATTGACATTCAGTCACGATGAATGTGGTCACCCTGGTATAAGGACAACCAAACGACAAATTCAATACAAATATTACTGGAAAGACATGCACCGAGACATCGAGTTATATGTAAAATCTTGTCATATCTGCCAACTCACTAAACCAGTCAATCACAGACACTTTGGTCAACTACAACCCATACCAACACCAACTAAACCATACGACTTATTAGCTATGGATACAATGGATTTCCGTTCAAGCGATGGAAAATACAATTATTTACAAGTAATAGTTGACCATCATAGCAGATACATTTGGGCCTACCCTACCAAATCTAACACCGCACAGACAGCAGTTGACTGTCTAAACAAAGCTATTCAATCAGCGACAACACCTGTTTCCAGACTATTGACAGACAATGGCACCAATTTTACAAGTAAATTATTTAAAGATTATCTCAGAAGACAAAATATTAAGCACTCGCTGACGACACCCTATCATCCGGCATCCAATGGTACTGTCGAACGGGCCAATGGATCTATTAAACAACGTCTTAGATCAGCACAACTCAAGCACCGTAACTACAAATGGAGTTCACTCGTCTCACAGGTTGTTGATCAGTACAACCAATCAATCCATTCAGTTACAGGTTATACACCAGCATATCTCATGACTGGCACTGATAATCTAAACACATCTGGTGACCTGTCTACCGCCAGACAATCAGCAACTGCCAAATCGGACAACGAAAAAGCAGTTGTCAAACTAAGATATGATAAACAACACAGTCCTCTCAATTTACAGATTGGCGACTTAGTTAAAGTCAAACTTCCACACAACCGACCGGACCGTAAAAAGTTGGATCCACTCTTCGAGGGACCGCTTGTTATCACCAAGATAACATCACAGGTCAACGCTGAGGGACATCATTTGGATAAACCAAATGCACCGACACTTAAACTACATGTGTCACAACTAGCTCCTTATCTCAAGCGGTTCTAATCTAGGTCGCGGGGGAGTATTGGGAGTTATATTTCAATTATATTTTTAATGTTATATTAGATTTTATATAAATATATAATTACAACAATAAGTGTTAACATTAGTTGAATACAATTTTTAATACAATTATTTTCAGTTAATTTTCAATATTATTAGTATTTGTGCACTCAATCTGTTAATAACTTTTTAATACAAATAATATACATGTAATTTAAAACCATTGTTTGTCGTCGATTAAATCAATGTTATAATTATTAATTAATTATTTTAATTGTTTATAATTGAGATAATATGTCCAAACTTTCTATGTTTTTAATTAATATATATTTTAATTCAATAAATTAGTTTTATTTAGTTATTGATAAAAATAACTGTGTTTCAATCATTCAATTATTATTTACCCGATATCCGGACAATCACTCGGACACCGGACACACAGCAAGACATACCAGTTCGCATCGGGACCTGAATCAACAACAATCAACACTGCAAGACATACCTGTTCGGCTGTTGATAACCAGTTGGTACATCACATACCATTGCAACGGATCTACCCTAAGGGCCGGAACCGCTGTAGTAGTGGTGATTCGGGAATCACACACCCCTTAAATCACACAACTCGGTCCACGACCGCAATAATATATTTATAGTTTATATAATTTAATCAAAAATTTTTGTCTTATAATAGACTCAAGCGTTAACAACACTCGATCGATTTTATGATTACGAGCTAAACATCGATGATAATTTCGATAGGATAATGGTTGGACAAATCGATGCAATTAATTTAATTACGGGACTAACTTATCGTCAAACAATTAAATACTTTAATATTGTTTATTTGTTCGACAAAAATGTAAGTTAAAATTGATTAGTTTTTAGATTTATTTTAATATATTAATTAGTATTAATATAACTAATTTATTAGGTATGGTTATTATTAATTATTTCGTTATTATCGATTAGTATACTAATTAAAATAATTATTAATAAATCTTCAAATCAGCATACTATAATTATTTCATTGATATCTACAATTTTAAATACTGGATCATCATTATATGATATACATAATTCCAGTACAAAGTTTCATAATAAAATTAAATTTTATTTATTTAATTTTATTATAATACTTTGGATTTTAAGTTCAACAATTTTGAATCAATCATTTATTAGTCTATTGCTAAATAGCTATTTTAAGTTAACGCCTACTCCTATGATGACTTCATTACATGATTTGTCAAATTGCGATAAAAATTTTCAAATATTAACAACCAATGATATTTTACGACATCTAGAAAATAACAACATTAACAATATAAACAAAATTAAATCTAAATTTAAATTATTAAATATTATTGATGTCAATTTTACGTCCAATAAAATTTTAGATATAATAAATGGAAAATCAATATATATTTTAAATTCAGATGACATACTATATTTTAAGTTTTTAGAAAAGTATTTAAAAAATTACTTAATAATTGTTAGTATTCATAATTTTAAATATAATATGAATTATATTGTTAATAAAAATCATAAATTATCAAATAAATTAAGTAAAATGTAAGTAAAATATTTATTATATTATAAACTAAATAATATATTAATGAAATATTTTTATAAATTTAAATATTTAGCTATAAAAACTTTTTCGAAAATGGATTAATATTAAATTATCAATTAAAAAACGACATATTTTTATATAAAATATTTAATGTTAATTTAAAAAAAAATAATTTAAATATAATTGATAAAAATACAGATAATAATATAAATATAATCGAAATTTATAATAATATTCTATTATTTTATTTTTATGGTTTATTGATTTCATTAATAGCATTTGTTTTTGAAATTTTATATAAACAAGTTTTTTGAAAAAATATTTGTATATAAATTAATTATATTTTATTAAAAATTATTGTTTATTAAAATTTATTTAATTTAGTAACTATAAACAGTTTTAATATGTTTTAATAAATTAAATTTAAATATTTATGTATTTATATTTTAAAACAAAACTAAAAATATTTATTTTAAAAAATATTTTGGCCATTAAAAACCGATGAAAAATTTATCGACGAGTTATTTATCAAGTGATCATCGATACGGCCGATGCCGACGTATTTGACCAGTTACTCGAGTTTATCTATACGGGTAGTATCGGCAGCGGCGGTGGAGCGGACATCGACCCGATAGCGGCCAACCGATTGCTAGTGTGCGCCGAATACTATTCACTGCCCGACTTGAAGTCCATTTGCGAACATATACTATCGCAAACATTGACCACTGGATCGGCCATCGATTTACTATTGTTTGCCATCAAATATACAGTAATGTCCAATCGTTACGGTATAAACTTATCAATTTTGTGGCCAACAATTATCTGGAAGTTGAACTCAAATCTGGCCATAAATTAAGCGATTTATTTAAAACTGAACCCCAAATTAATGTAATTAAGTATAAATAAAATTTCTAGACTTATTAACTTTTAAATATTATATATTTTATTCTATATAAAATTAACATATTGTTTGTTGATTAAATTATTTTCTAATATTTTATATAAAATTAAATAAAATTAACATTTAATATTTTAACAATATTATAATATTTTCAATTTTAACAATTTTTTAGTAATCTATAATTATCATTTACCAAAATCAAAATTATTATCTATTGTACGACATGTCACTGACGCTATTATCATCAACGTTATCATCATTACCGCCATCATCAATATCATAGTCATCATTGCCATCATAGTTATCAATTTATCTTAAATATAAACGAATATTTTAATAAATTTAACAAAAATATTATTATTTTTAATAACATAAACTTACCTTAAATTTTTCAAATTGTTATATTGAAAACTAATTTAATAATAAATTGAAATTAATTATATTAACCAAAATGAAAGCCAAATTTAATTAACTATTACTAAAAACAAATTATTATTACTATATAAAACATATTATGTATTTGATTACATTAAGGTATGTTAAAAGCCATATGTTTTCTATTTTTTAAAATACTAATTTTTTTTAAAAATATTTAATCAATATAATTAATCAATTACTGTACTGTCAATCAATTACTGTTTTAATTATTATTATTATTATTATCGTTATTTGAAAATTATTGATAGTTATTGTACTGATATAATAATAACAACAACAATAGGATAGATAAAGTAGCAGTCATTAGCGTCGGTGATATAGTCAACAACAAAGTAGTTACCGCTTATTATATCGATAAACAAATTTTATTATTTATTAAACAAAAATTAAGAGACAAATAAACAATTTATATATAACCTAACAATCAATTAGATATCATTTTTTTAATTATTATTATTATTATTGACAATCGGTTCATCAATTGGTTGATTGTTTGGTTCATTCATTTCGATATCGTTTGTTTGGCCATCAAATAGTATTTCGTTTGGATCGGAAGCTCGAGGGAGGAACTCATCGTTGGGAAACATTTTACTAAACAGTGTACGAGCCTTAAGATTATTAAAAAAAATAAAACAAAAATAAAAACAATTTTTTTTTAGTTACAGTAAATCCAATACAAAATTAATCAAAATTTATTACCTCATTGATTGCCAAATCAAAATCAAGTTCGCTAACCGGCGGTGTAGTTGTCCACACATTTTCTGGCAAATCAATTGGTTGGACACATCGTGAGAAATGTTGATTATAGTATACACTCCACAGTACTTTTGGTTTATCATCGGTTTCATCACAATTGTCGGTAATATCTGGTGTAAAGTTGTATAAGTTTTTCACGATTGGCATCAAATCGTGTTTAGCGCAGTCGGCAGTCGAATCGCACCATAAATATTAGACAACTGTTTTAAAGAAAAAAATTAAAATCAATCAAAAAACAGTTTTTTACTAATACTAATATACCTTTATTATTAGGCCTTTAGGTGCTACCAGTGCTGATGAGCTGCGATAAGATAGACTGAATTTTTGTTGCCGTTATTATCATCGGTTGGCGGTATATGAAGCAGTGACAGGTGCTCGACATCTGATCGTTTGATCGATCGATCGCTGATAACTATCGCCGCTATTCATATCACTGGTATTTATATCATCATTAGTAGACTCAACTATATAATCGGTTATTACATTATCGCAATCAAAACGGCGGCCATCGATCACACAGGCCGTACACTTGTTCGGTTCGGTGGATGTGTCGACAATAAGTGCCTGACATTTCATTTTCAGACAATAGGTACCGACAAATACGGCACAGACGACGACAAAAAGCTTGGGGTAGTTCACCGGTACCGTACAGTGTAAACAAAAACGGTGTATTACCCGAAACGGCCGGCACTATGAATGAACGTATGGATCAATTTGAGTGCCTCTTTGGTTGGACAATGCGGTCGAGTCATTGCTATAGCATTCAGTTTGAACTTCTGGAGCAATGGCGAATCAATTGTTGGTCGGCCAGAAAATCGCCAATCGATTCGTTCTCGTAATCTATTAAACAATAAAAAAATCATTAATAAATCACTAATTAGTCTTTCATTACTACTGATCGGTCCTTTACTTTCATATTCATCAAAATGTTTATCATATTCGGCACAAAACGACATAAACTTCATAAGCATTCGCTTATCGATAACCGAAACGTCATTATTGTTAAATATATCGCCCGACAGACTGACGGGCACTTCGACTATCCTATTGTTGTTTGTGTCGGTGTTGTTGTTGTCATCGATTTATTCGTCAATATTTGGGTAACGGCTTTGAATTCACGGCCATATCTTTCGAGATATTAGACGACACTAACATAGGTCTACCAATTGCTCCTCTCGAGTATAATAACTAATCAATCAATCATAAAATAAAAATAAATAAATTACCGATAAATAAATCATTGATTAACAACAAAAATGATTGATTATATTACCCGTGGAGTTAAATCCAAATTGAATTTACGGGACTAGCGATTCAACTGAAACATTGACCACTTGACTGCTGATGTGATCGTGTCCTCCGTTGGTGTTCCCTTTGGTTGTTGTTGCCGTAGCTCCTCCTGAGGCGGCGGCGGCATTGGTGTTGTGGAGGCTCTACAACATCATCGACCAGTGCATCTTAAATGCTGATGTATTTCCTGATCGGTAGCGTCACCGGTAGTAGTAGTAGTAGTGGTGGTCACCCGTCGTCCGACTTGATATCTGTGCACAGATAGGATATTGGCGTAACGTTTACTATATACGGTCGACGGCTACAGTTCCCGCTTTGTTGACTATAGTGTAGTAGTAGTCGCTGACAATGGATCGGTAATAGCGGGTGCGGTATGGGTAAAGCCACACGGGTAAAAGAGATCAGAAAAATTTTATTTTTAAAATTTTTTTTATTTATTGCTAAATTTAATGCTGATTTTATTAATCTAATTCATTTTTTAATATCTCGAATAGTTTTCGAGATATTCGACTTTAAAGTCGAAAATTACAAAAAAAAATTAAAAAAAAAATCATTAATAAAAAAATTAAATGTAATTAATTTTATTCAGATTCAGTTGTTTCGGAACCAGTAGTTGTTTCGACTTCTGTGTCAGCAGTCATATAACGCCAAATATCAGAACCATATTTTGGGTAAATACTGGCTACGTCTTGAAAAAAACGTAGAAGTCGTTGACCATTATTTCTTGCACTATGCATGCTAAAAAATATATATATAATAACAATTTCTAATATAAATTTATTACCGTCTGCAAAGATAAACGTAACGATCAATATATCCGTCAACAAAGTGAATCCAATCACCTTGATTATCTTCAAACTCACGAACAGAAAGAATATTAGCTTTAAGCCATCGCCATCGAATCTCAAGGGGGTTTGTGCTGTGAACAACATGAAAACGTCGTTGAACGCCATTATCATCAATGTATTGTGCATTTATATGTTGAGAAAATTCTCCAGTTGAGTGATTGGTCGCAAAGTGTTCTCCCCATGCATGCGGACCAGGGTTTTGATCAGACATACTACCAACTCGTCTATAAAGAGCAGGATATACTGCATGCCCGTCAGTGCATACAACTGAGCCCTGTTCAACATGTTCTCTAACAATAGGCAACAGCTGTAAAACACTTTCACCGCCGTCAATTCTTTTAGCAAAAAGTTTAGGCTCGGCATCCAATTCACCGTCCCATTGAACTCCTCCAAATACCCATACATCAGTCATTGGACGACCTCTATGATACTTTGCACTGTATAAATGGGTCCCATCTAAACAAACTTTAACTCCGGGTCCACCTATCTTAATAGGATTTCTTTCAATCCATCTTGAGCATACCTCCCTCATAAAAAACCACCATTGAGATACGCTAACCCTGCTTACTCCTGTTATTTCTACAGATGTTTTTAGACTGAAAACCCCATCAGCGACAAAACAATATCCAATTGCAAAGATCTGATCCCAATCAAGAAGCGTTTTCTCAAAAAATGAGTCTTTTAACGGATTGAAGGATCTACGACAATTTCCGGCCGAATTTCTGCATCTAATTATATATTTTAATTAAAATATGTTTACACTTTAATATAATACAAACCTAATTCTCCAACCAATTTTAAATGACGAATCGTTTTCCCATTTCATCGGAGAATTGCACGGCTCTGGACATCTGGCCAAAGTTACTTCTTCTCGTGTCGGAATTAATCCCATTATCTCGAAGAATTGTTTACATTGTTCGGGAGTATTATAATTGGTTAAACCGATTTTCAAATTATCCAAATTTGGTAGAGCTGCCATAATTAACCTGATTAAAAATAATTAAAGTAACGTTAAAACATATAAAAATAATATATTATTTTGTAAATTTCACCCCGGTCTATCCCCTCCCTAAAATTCAAAACCTTGCTTAACCATGATCTAATGTATATTAAGTTTCTCTCTCTCTCTCTCACTCCCTTTTTTAATATATAAATTTTTAATATATATATATATATATATTAGTATAACAAATTGATAAATAAAATAAGTTATATGTTTAACGGCAACTGCTGGTCAACGGTTTGCATCGATTTACATGCCATAGACTGGACAATCAGATCAAACAATTTGAGACATTTATAGCAGGAAACAGTGATCATCTAAAATGTCTTAAACTACATATCAATAGTACAGATACTGAGGAAACTGTTATGTCTGTACTGTCTGTAATTGGCCAGCGATTACAACGACTGCAACAATTGGTATTAATATTTTATACATTACTAAACAACTCGATTGGCGAACCGTTAATGAAAATTGCCAACAATTGTCAACAATTAAAGTCATTTAGTTTGAAATTAGTTGTCTATTCAGTGGTTGAATATGAGGAGACATACAATGCCATCAAACTAATGAAACGATTGGATCTGAATTTGCAAATAATTTATAATCTAAATCAAGTAATTTATCCTAAATTATATGAAACATTACAACCAATTAATTCATGGACTTATTTAACACTTTATTATTCGCAAATTGATCGCCAATTTGTTATTGATTTACACAAAAATCTACCTAAACTTCAAACACTAGACATTAGTTGTTCAACATTACATCATTTGTTTGTTATTTATATAAAAACTATTATCTATTACTATCAATACTGTCAATCAAATGGTCAACGATTGCCACAAATTGAAAGAAAAAATACAAATTTATCTCAAAAAATGATCTCTAAGTTTTAATTATAAATCAAATAATTATTTTATATATGTTTTATTTTCTTAAATATTTTTTTTAAAAAAAAAGGAATTATTTTTTTATTGTTACCGTAATTATAATTTAAAGTGATAAATAAATAATAGATAATTATTTTAGATAAAAAAAAGTACATCTATTGAATATATTAATTAATTATTGTATTTAAATATAACAAAATTTTTTATAATGAAAAAAAACAATTCATTTAATGAAAACAGTGAAAAAAACTCTCTCTCTCTCTCTCTCTCTCTCATACTGTATATGTACTCTAGAAATATATTTATTATTATTTAACAACTAATTTATTTATTATATATATGATATAATTTTTTAAAAACAAATTTTTTTAGTAGTTTTGCCCCTTTATTATCTAATAATAATAATACAGTAAATTTTATACAATATATATACAGTATATTAGTTATGCTATTAGTACCTATTATTATTTTTTAACTAATTATTAATAATACAGTAGTTTATTAGAAAAAATAATAATCTAATAATAAATATAAAAAACAAAATATTTATTTTTAACTATTTTATTGATAATAAATATTAACAATAATAAAACAATAGATTTTTAAAATATATTTCTATTCAAATTCAAAAATATTAAAAAAAATTATTAATTTAAATTCATAAATGAGATAAAAATAAATTTAAATATATTTATAAATTTGAAAATTATTATCAATTAATAAATATAGGATTATAAATACTGTATATATATATAATATTTATGAATAAAATATGTATGTATTTTAAATGCATTTACAACAAGATTTATTAAAAAAAATAATTATTATATACTTTTTGTAAATATATATTTATCTAAAAAATTATTTATTATTAGTATTGAATATCTAATCAATTGATAAAACAACTACAAGTACTAAACTATATTACAGTATATATATATATATTTCGTTAAAATTATTTTTAGTTTTTGTTTATTTGTTTGTTGTGAGCTACTTATTTTATTTGATAAATTAATTATTAATGATAATAATTATTAAAATATCTAGATCAATTAACTATTAAACATTGTATATTTTAATGTGTGTATTATTTTTAAGGTCATGATATTTATTGATTATAGATTATACTGTATATAAAATAATATATATAGACTATAAAATATTTATAAGTAAATAATGTCTGTGTATGTCTATAATTATATCAGAATATAAATAGTTATTTTTTTTTGCTATAAATATTTTATAATAATAAAACATTAAGAGAGATAAAAAAAACTAATTAAATAAATAAAATCAAACATATATTATAATTACTGTCTATATATTTAATATTTATATATTATTTTATAGTCAATTTTATTTTATTACTTATTACTATTAGATATTATAGTATATCTATTGAATTTTTAAAAAATTAGATTATTTAATAATATACTTTATTTTTATATAAATTTTTAGTTTTAATTTTTTTAAATTTAATATATAAATAATAAAAATTATTGAGAATCAATATTTGTTTTAAAAATTTGTATTTATAAAATTGATATATAATATAGTAATTATTGTTATTACTAAATAATTATATATTTATTTTTAATCTAATTAAATAAATATATTTATACAGTATATTTTTAATTTAATAAAATAATAATAAATAATAAATTAAAAATATAAAATATAATAGCAATATACTGTATAAATAGATCATTTTTATAAATATATAAAGTATATGTTTTTGTTTGATTTTTTAAAGTTTGTTTTAAAAATATAAAAAACTAATAGTAGTTAATAATAGTAATATTAATAATAATAAGAAATAATAGATAATTTAATATTTTTAATAAAGTTTGTTTTTAAATATAAATATATTTTTTAATTACTTTTTTGTTGATTGTTTTTTCCACTAAAAAATTGTCCAAAAGTAACCAAAAGTAACCAAAAGTAACCAAAAGTAACCAAAAGTAACCAAAAGTAACCAAATGCAGTCAAAATTTTAAAAATATGTAAAACAATTTTAAAAGTTTATAGTTTTATTTTATTAAACATCCGTTTAACAACAATACCAAACAAAAATAAGAAAAAAAAATTAGAAAATTATATTTATATATAATATACATAAAGTATATCTAGTATAAAACAGTTCTATTTAACTGACCTAAAATAACCCTAAATTTAATGCTAATATTTGCTTTTAATATTTAAAATAATATAATCTAATTACTAAATGAATTTATAATATATATTTATATATATCAGGGTTAAGCAAGGTTTTGGATTTTAGTAGGGTGGTAGACTGTGGGGTATAGGGGGTATAAAATTTTATTGCATTTTTAAACAAAAATTTTTTCAAAAATTAAAATAATGTATTTTAAATTTAAAAATAGTTGATAAAAGCATTAATGATACACTATGAGTTATTTTTAGTATATTAATAATTTTTTATAATTACTGTATATATGTATAACATTATAAAAATGTAAAATTTAACTAAAAATGTATAAAAGTTAAAAAAAATTAAATTTTCGACTTTAAAGTCGAATATCTCGAAAACTATTCGAGATATTAAAAAATGAATTAGATTAATAAAATCAATAATAAAATTTAACTAAAAATGTATAAAAGTTAAAAAAAATTAAATTTTCGACTTTAAAGTCGAATATCTCGAAAACTATTCGAGATATTAAAAAATGAATTAGATTAATAAAATCAATAATAAAATTTAACTAAAAATGTATAAAAGTTAAAAAAAATTAAATTTTCGACTTTAAAGTCGAATATCTTGAAAACTATTCGAGATATTAAAAAATGAATTAGATTAATAAAATCAGCATTAAATTTAGCAATAAATAAAAAAAATTTAAAAATAAAATTTTTCTGATCCCTTTTACCCGTGTGGCTTTACCCATACCGCGGGTGCGGTGGCGGCAATCGCGATCTCCGTATTGCTGTCATTGTTTTGGTCACCACCACCACCACTGATTGATCCCAACACCAATCGGCCAGTTGTTTAAAGTTCATTGATTGCCACTCTTGCGACTATTGTATACGTGTTTTGGTCTATTCGGTCGCTACGGTCGCTACGGTCAATGGTCGCCCGATGGCCATCGACTATGTTATACTGTATCAATACTGTAATAATACTAATCAATATATAAACAGTCCCTTAATATATCAAATTTTATATTCAAATTTGTTTACTGTATATAAATAAATAACTGTTTCATTACAAACAAAACCAAAACAATAATGACCGCTAAGCTATGCGTTTATACCTTTTTTTTAAAAAAAAAATTTAACCAACAAAAAATAATTGGTCAACTTTTTTTTGTTGTTGACGCTACTCATAAATTACGTTATTATCATTATATTTATTGCTTAAACAATAGCTTAATATAGCAATAAATATGAGTAATTTAAGAGTAGTGTCAACAACAAAAAAAAGTTGACCAAATATTTAGTTAATAAAAGTATTATTGTTTGGCTGCCTTAGGTGTTTTGGTTTTGCTTGTACTCAAAACAGTTATTTTTTACCTGTATATATGCTGTTTATATATATACAGTATATAAGCGAAAAAATCTTAAACACTGGTGGCGGCGGCTGTAAGGCTATTAATAATATCATAATTATAATTATCTGGTCAACAATTTTTTTATTGTTGTAATTAATTAATTAATAATAATAATTTTTTTTTATAAATTTTTAAAATAAATTAATTAATTGTATGATGATTTGACAGATAATTTATAGTCGACTAAGATTTTTATTTATTTTTTTAAAATTCTAGCATATAATACAATTTATTTTTTTTTAAAAAAAACCAATGACCAATTACAATTTTATTTAGTTTACAAAATTATAAACATTTGCTACTTGGTCACTTTTAAATTCCAACGTATTGTTGACCAGATATTTGTAATTTAATAGCATCGCCACCGCCGCCGCTGTTTAAGATTCTCTCTCTCTATATATATATATATATAAGCGACATCTGTATATTAGTGTCATATTTACAGAATATTCATTAAAAATAAAATGATCATGATGAAATAATTAATTATTTTTTTAAATATATTTAAATTAACCCACCCACACATACACACACATACACACACATACACATACACATACACATACACATACACATACACATACATATGCATACACACACACACACATACACATATACATACACACATACACATACATACACATACACACACACACCGTGACATTTAATACCACATAAACCGGTCAAAAAAATGTTTGTCCATCACATGAAATATACGTACGAGTGGTCACTGGATGTCCATTCGTTGTCATCATCGTCGTCATCGACATCGATGGCTGGCATTGAAAAAAGTCCCGTAATGTTGACCAAAAACAACATCAAATGGCATCTCTATGTAGACCTACGGCAAGTTTATCGGAAAACTAATCAATCGTTTACTGTTCGGCTATTGTTGGATGAGTTGCCGAAATCCGATGACAACCAGATATTGGACATCGAATTCAACGTATATCTGGTGGCCAAAGATGACATTACTGGCCATACAAGACAATTGGTTGTATTATATACAACACGGCTCTCACCGCCAGTCATGATAAACAGCAACCGTACGGACATCGACACCAAAAACATTGTTGTCGTCGTCGACAAAGAGTTGCCGTTCAACGACCAGATGACTGACGATAATCACCAATTGGTTCTCTACTTTGAATTGGTTTACATCGAACCCAGGGATCAAATATGTCAACGAATTGGTACCGATTTAGTTGACTCGTTGCGGACGTTGATGTCTAGCGGCGATCACAGCGACGTAACACTGGTGGTCGGCAGCGGCGGCGACGGCGGCGATCGACAATATTCGGCCCATAAGTGTATACTAAGCGCCAGATCCGAGTTTTTTCGGGCAATGTTTGCCAATCCGATGAAAGAGTCAAACGATAATCGAGTGATCATCGATACGGCCGATGCCGACGTGTTTGACCAGTTACTCGAGTTTATCTATACGGGTAGTATCGGCAGCGGCGGTGGAGCGGACATCGACCCGATAGCGGCCAACCGATTGCTAGTGTGCGCCGAATACTATTCACTGCCCGATTTGAAGTCCATTTGCGAACATATACTATCGCAAACATTGACCACTGGATCGGCTATCGATTTACTATTGTTTGCCATCAAATATAATGCCCGATCGTTACGGGAAAAACTTATCGATTATGTGGCCAACAATTATCTGGAAATTGAACTCAAATCTGGCCATAAATTAAGCGATTTATTTAAAACTGAACCCCAATTAATGCAATCGATTGTACATAAAATTGCTAAACTTAATAATATTTATTAAAATAAAAAAAATAATAAAATAAAAATCAATCAAAAAAAATAATTACTATTTAATTAGTTTTTTAATTAGTTTTTTGTGTTTATAAAAAATTGTTTGTTTTATTTTCTAAATAATAAAACAATTTAATAAATCTATACTAAAATTATTATTAATATTATTAATAATCAAAAATAACATAATCTTATATTTTTTTTGACAAACAATTTCAAAAAAAAAAACATAATAATTGGGTAAAAAAGTAATAAAATAATTCATACAATTTATTTTTTGATGATGATAATGATAAAATTGATTAATCAAATTGATTTAAAATGGTATTGAATTAATTAATTTTGATAACAATGATATAGTAGTAGTAGTAGTAGTAGTAGTAGTAGTAGTAGTAGTAGTAGTAGTAGTAGTAGTAGTAAAATGTATTATAAAGATTACTAAAAAACAAAATGATTTTTTTTAAAGGTATTTTTAAGTAACTTTTTTTTACAATTAAAATAAAATTGTTACCCTCATCATCCTAATTATTATTATTATGGAAATAACATTGGTATAATTTATATATACAAAATAATAATAATAATAATAATAATAATTAATTAATTTGTACTGTATAAATAACAATAACAACAATAAAATAATTATTGATTGTGTGGTGTATAAAATTGATTTTTTTTCAAACAAAAATTGTTGAAAACTACTAAATAATTGATAATTAATTAAATTAAATTTTTAAAAAAAATAATAATAATAATCACAAAATAATTAATTGAATTAATCATATAATAGAGGGTTAACAACAACAACAAAAAATACGGTAATATTTTTTTTGTTGTTGACATCAATTAATTTTTGTTTCTCTCTCTCTCTCTCTCTCTCTCTCTCTATAGTATAAAATAAAGTATAATTATTAATAGTATCACTGGCAACCCCACCCCCTCCCACCCGTATAATAGTAGATAAAATCATAATAATACAGTACAATAGTACTGTACTATTAGTAATAGGTTAGGGGGTTAGGGTGGGTGTACCTGTTTAGTTTGTTATACTGTATACTTATTTTTCTAATTAAATAAAAAACACTATCAAATAAATTTTCTACATTTAGCTGATCCGCACATACAATCAATGGCAGTGATATGTCTTGGAGGATGACTAGCGCTAGTAGTAGTAGTGTTGTTGTTGGTGGTGGTGGTAGTGGTAGAGGTGGTGGTGGTGGTACCCGACGATGACGTATAGCCACTGTCCACTGAAGCCACTTCATCGGCTGTCGACGACGAGTTGTTGTTTGCAAATATACCGTTGAGATCAACTGAAAACGTTATACGATTGTAATCGTAGGTTAATTCTTCGTACGGTTTGATATCACGATTGGCGAAGAATGCAATTCGGGGAATCTGTTCGCCATTACCCAAGACTGTCATATGCGACGATAGATTCGGTTCGCACGAATGATTGACAAATCGGGAAATGTTTGCATAGTATTTGGCGTCAATAAAAACGGTTTGTCCGCAAAATTCTTCGTCAATATTGAACATATAGGTATCGTCGTAGCGATAGTATGTCTGTTGGCTATCGAGTATTCGTCCTAAATATTGTAAAACAAAATCATATCTCTGGATCTTCTTCGTAGTCAATACACCCCAACCGCGACCGGTTGTCTTGTAGATCATTAAATTACGGCCAATCTGGCCCTTCTGTACCCGTCGATTGGGACATCGCTGAGGATTACACAGACAACTTGCATTACATTCGTACAGTACATAACTAGTCTGGAACTGGTTCTTGTTTTTTTGTAGTTTATTTTCGCACAAACACGACTTTCTCGTAAGACAATCGCCGGGACATTGACAACAGCCGCGTATCAACAATCGACTGGTATCGACACTGACGTTATCGTTCAGCATGTATTCGCTTAGATATTTGATTTTGGGCGGAACCTCCAGATCGGCATTGTTCTCAACTGATATACAATCGCCAGTAAAACCCAACGAAGCCAACTGTCCATTGATATCGTCGGCCCATTCCTTCAGTTCAATTCGTGCCAAATACCTATCTTCGACAAACTCGAACAACTTCTCCAGACTACCGAAATTCTTGTCAATTCTCAACTCCCGTACCAAATGCTGGATCAGTAGCCGTTGTGGCCAAAAATTGTCGGCCGGTTTGCATCGATTGACTCTCATCTTACGATACATTCGTCTCATAGCCAACCTATAGATCTCCAGATTTGATCGTAATTTTCTGGTTGTCTTCTCATTTCGATCAAACACTTCGACAGTCATATCATTCAATCGCAAGAGTACTGCCGTATCAAACTTGGAGCTCATTGTCAACGATAAACAGTTCATCAGTTTCCGAAACTCATGAATCGTATACATGACTACTACCGGTGCAGACATAGTAGTAGTAGTAGTAGTAGTGATGGCAGCGTCGGTGTCGGCGGTAAACAGTTTGTCAAAGTAGTTCCTGTAGTGTTGTTGACAATCAAACAGATCGTCGCTCTGTTGCCATGTATTGTCGCTGTCGTTATCATAGCCGCGCCATTTGATTAGATACATAAGCTCTCCATCCGTAGCCAATCTCAAGTCGACTATCTTTTCGATGAAATATCTGTCTTCCGATACAAATCGCCGATAACTGTCGTCACGTTTACGGCGTTTATTTGAACTGGAATTTGTCGAAAACCCGAACTTTCGTTTACGTTTCTTATGCTGTTTCGGCAGTGGCGGCGTTGGCGTCGGCGACGACTTTACTGCCGATGTCGTTGAAGACTGCAGCTGCTTCTGGCCATCATTGCTCGTCCGACTATTGCTGGCTATAGTAGTAGTATTGGTTTCCTTCCACTGACCACTGGCCAATTGACGGGCCCGGCGTTTGACCACTTGTATGGGTTCGACACACGCTACATAGGCATAACTGGTCAATTGGACCAATTGGTCGTATGTTAGCTCATCGCGGCCAACGATCTTCATTTGATGGCTACCGCGGCAGTAGCAGCTGATCTGTCCGCGCAAACTGTTGTTGACCTTAATTTGTGGCCGAGGAGGAGGAGGAGGAGGAGGAGGTGGCGGCGGCGGCGGCGGACGATGACCACATTGTTTGTTTGTATGGCCACAACAATAATCCGCGCGAATCGATCGGTCGGTGACAACTATAGTAGTCGGGAAAGTAAAACAAAAAAATGTATTATTAATTCATTGATAGCACCGACGAGAAAAAAAAAGTGGTCACTGAATGTGTGTGTGAAGACATAAATGTGATCTCAATTTAGTTAATAATAATAATAATAATAATAACAAAAACACTGTATTATTATTATTGTTGACTAAAATATTATTTCCAGTCTAGCAATACATGTGTGTCTCTCTCAATAGGGTTGTGTCTTAAAAAAATACTTATTAAAAAAAGCTATTAAATATTTTGGTTATTATTATTAATTATTATTAATTATTATTAATTATTATTAATTATTATTAATTATTATTAATTATTATTAATTATTATTAATTATTATTAATTATTATTAATTATTATTAATTATTATTAATTATTATTAATTATTAATTATTATTATAAAATATACTTATTATATAATGTGGCAAAAAAGTGACAAAAAAAATCAATAAAAATAAACTAAGTTTAAGAAATTATCTAGATAAAAAATTATATTGCCATCAACAATAGAGGTTTATTCATTAATTTTTTTTCATTAATCATTTTGATATTGCTGTTATTATTTAATAATTTTATACAAGAAACAAAAATGTCAATAAATATATAAATTATTATACTGTATATAAAATAAATATAAATATAAAACCTTAGTAAACAAACTAAAAAATATCAATAACAATAATTATTAAATAAGACAATATAAATTTTTATCTTGCTAATTTCTATTTTTTAGCAACTATTATATTTGTAACATTATTAACCAATTGATAATATTAATTACTGTAATCAATCAATCAAATCGGTGGCCGCTATTTGTCTAATATATATATATTTTTAAGACATTACCCCATAATTCAAAACAAAACAAAACTACTGTTCATTCAATTATATTCAAAAAAATTTTTTTGAATGCATTGAGAGATCAGCTGTTTATTCAATCAATCAAACAAACAAACAAAACAACTGTTTGTCTACTGAATCACCGATTGACTGATTGATTGATTGGTCACTTAGTCAGTGACCACACTGTTTGTCGACACCGATGGCCAACAACAACAACAAGAATAACGGCGGTCTGAATGCCGAACTCAGACAATCCAAACAAGAGTTACAACAAATCGATGAACAACTGATGACATTGCGATCGCGTAGACGTCAATTGGCCACCAAAATTGCCGCCTTAGAGTCACGGCTGGCATCGATAAGTGACCAGCAATCGAGCGACCAGTTTGATGGCCAGGATTTCCAATGGTCCGGACAATGTCAACGGCTATTGGAAACGGTATTCGGGTTGAAGTCGTTTCGCAACTATCAACTACAGGCCATCAACGCTACGCTGGCCGACAACGATTGCCTATTGGTTATGCCGACCGGCGGCGGTAAATCACTGTGTTTCCAGTTGCCGGCACTTATCCGGCCGGGCCTGACGGTAGTCGTATCGCCGCTCATATCGCTAATGGAGGACCAGTTGAGCGCCATGAAAGAGCTTCAGATACCGACGGCAGTTATCAGTGGCCAGACCCAGCGCTCGGAAAACAATCAGATCTTGCAGTCGATGGCCGCGCCGACCAGCGACCTGAAGATTGTTTACGTAACGCCCGAAAAGATGGCCAAATCTAAGCGATTTATGTCTCAATTGGAAAAGTGTTACCAAAATAAACGACTCAATCGTATTGTCATCGATGAGGTATACCGTTGTTGTTGCTGATGATATGATGACTGTTGAGAGGATTAGTTTAAAATCCAGTTTTTAAGACAACATTTACCCCCCGTATGTACGCGCATATAACCCACCCCCCTCCCCAGTTAGCAGGTTTTTTTTATTAAAAATAAAAATCAACTTTTAGTATGGGGCTATAACTCACATATACCCCCCCTCTACTGGGGCTATATGTGAAGTCGTGGGGCGGGGGGAGTAGGAAACGATAGTGTGCGGTGGGGGTGGGTGGTTCAACATAGTGTTAAATTTTAGACATTCAAAAAAAACTTCTCAATAGTTAGAGGACTATTGTTTTGAACAATAGTTTGATATATGGGGGCTGTAACTCACATATAACCCCCCCTCATCTACTGGGGCTATATGTTAAGTCGTGGGGGGGGGAGTAGGAAACGATAGTGTGCGGTGGGGGTGGGTGGTTCAACATAGTGTTAAATTTTAGACATTCAAAAAAAACTTCTCAATAGTTAGAGGACTATTGTTTTGAACAATAGTTTGATATATGGGGGCTGTAACTCACATATAACCCCCCCTCATCTACTGGGGCTATATGTTAAGTCGTGGGGGGGGAGTAGGAAACGATAGTGTGCGGTGGGGGTGGGTGGTTCAACATAGTGTTAATTTTAGACATTCATAAAAACTTCTCAATAGTTAGAGGACTATTGTTTGGACAATAGTTTGATATATGGGGGCTGCTGTAACTCACATATAGCCCCATAGTTTTAATATACATATAGCCCCTCGGATGCCTTAGTGGGCGTGCCGGGGGGCTATATGCGCGCGTACGGACGGTACTAATATTTTTTCATTTTATCTCAAATTTTTAAGGTTCACTGTTGTTCGCAATGGGGTCACGATTTTCGTACGGATTATAAATTTCTGGGTATATTGAAGACACAGTTTCCCGAAACACCTATCTTAGGACTGACAGCTACGGCTACCTCAACGGTTATCATAGATATCCAGAAGATTTTGAACATCGAAGGTTGTGTTGTACTGAAAGATTCGTTTTTTCGGTCAAACTTGAACTATATTATCGACAAACAAGACTACAAACGTGACGAACAAATCGAAAAGATTGCCGAACTATTGAATACCCGATATCGCCGACAATCGGGTATTATCTACTGTTTGACTATCAAAGATGTCGAAGAAGTTACCGAAAAACTACGGGCCATGAATATCCGGGCACTGGCATATCACGCCCAACTGGAACCAGCACGGCGGTCCAGTGTTCAACAAAAATGGTCAAAACACGACAACCATAAATGTCAGGTGATTGTGGCCACTGTTGCTTTCGGTATGGGTATCAACAAACTGAATGTCCGATATGTTATACATTTTTCATTGTCCAAATCGCTGGAAAACTACTATCAGGAAACTGGTCGCGCCGGCCGTGATGGCCAACCGGCTGACTGTCTACTATACTATCGATTTGCGGATGTATTTCGTACCACTAGTTTGGTGTTTAGCGAAAAAAATGGATTAACCAATGTCTATGCAATGCTAGCCTATTGTCTCAATGATAGTATTTGTAGGAAAGGTATGTTTTTTTCTAGTAATACCCATAATTGGTTATTAAAATTTACCGAAAATTCTCTCTCTATCTTTAATTAGAACAAATTGCTAACTATTTCGGCGATAAATGGACCAACAATTGTGATCAAATGTGTGACAATTGTCAACAAAATAGTAGTGTTGAATTGAATGAACTAAATGTTGGCCACTATTTGGACGATATCGTCAAAATCTTGACAAACGCCGGAAAAATCAAAGAACGTATGACTGCCTTAAAACTGATGGACTCGTGGTTTCAAAAAGGAAACAAAAAACTAAGACTCGACGATATAAGACCACCAGATATTAGACGCGATGTCTGTCAGCAAATTGTCGGCCTATTGCTATGCGATGGCTATCTGAAAGAAGATTTTCATTTTACACCCTATTCTACCATTAGTTATCTATCGGTTGGTTCCAGATATCATACAAAACCACAGAAGCAGAAAATCGCATATTTTGTTGATCTGTCGACAAAACCGTCGAAACTGAATAGTAAACTGAAGATAAAAAGTGAGAAAAAATTGAAAACAGTTAAAAACGAAGACAAAGACAATGACAACAACAACAACAACACATCCAATGATATTATATGTATTGACTGATTGACAACAACAACAACAATACATTAACTTATTTAACGGCAAAATAAACTTAAAAATGTATATATAATTAATTAATTAATTTTTATATTTATTAACTAATAATTTAATTTATTTTAATTTATTTTTTTTATATAATTATAATCAAATCTAATCTTTTGAATCGTTATTATTATTATTATTATTATTATTATTACCGGTATTTGTATTATTATTATTATTATTCTGTTTAAATGATTTCAAATAATTGATTCGCCTCTCAATTGTCAACAACTTGGATGTCAACAAACCTTTGACCTCTCCGTCATCGGTAAACATTCGCCACGAAGGCAGGTCTTCGGTTAAGACATTAAAGGCTGCATTTCTGGTCATTAATTTCTCCAGAAATTCAATGGCACCGTCAATATAGTCATCATCACCTAAACTAACTATATGTTTGTCGGCCCGACTACTGGCCGTATAGTTGACCAACTGATTGACTACTGACCACAAATAGTAGCCAATGACCAGCGATATGGCTGTCACAATGAATCGATGCTGAACTGCGGTAAATAGTTTGGTACGCGTAATGATCATATAGGGCAGGCCTACAGCTACGGCCGTAGCCGTTGTAACATTTAGTGCATTCAATGCCAGATTAGCGTTGTTGGCCACTAAGATTTGATGGCCAACAGCGTACTTTTTGGCCCGATCGGACAATACTAGCGACTGGATAAATGCTTGGCCGGCCGGCGATCGCCACTTGATGTACGGATCGTGTTGGCCGAAAAATCTCAGATCAACAGTCTTGACGTCGTCGACGGTGGCGTAGCTCAGAGTAAATGGTAGACCAATCCATGCACCGGTAGTCAATGTACCGATACTTATGGGCTGTTTGTGGATCAACCGATAAACAACAACAACAACAACAACAACAACAAACTGTTGGTTAGAAACTTCGGGAGAGAGACTAATGGACATACTTGCGATCCGACCGATGCAAAAAACCGAACCGAATCCGATGTCCGACGGCCGCCCAGTCGTTCATTGTATTCCTGCCAAACTGTTTCGGCTAATTTGGCCACCGATTCGTTTAGCGGTGTATTTTCTTGGCCTCTATATTAAAAGTGGTCAACAAATGTCATTTAAGAAATCATTGATTGATTGATTGATTGGACACAACAAACCTATAGGACTGGAAAATAGATCGGTATTTGTCAACCAATACAGTATTGTACGATACATAGAGACCAGTGGTCAACATACAAGTGGTTACCGAAAAATAGCCGAAATATTGGTCGTAACGGCGCCGGGAGATTAGCCGCAATCCAAAAACGGTTGTCCTGTATTTGTCGACAACCGAATTGACACTAGCGGTCAATTGACGCCAACCGTTGGCCACAAACCGACTCATATTAACGATTTATACGATAGTAGCGAAAAAAACTCTGATGTTATGGCCACTGAAGTTTGGTTACCGCCGATACTGTAATAATAATAATGATATAAAAAAAATATAGACAACAAAACCACGTGTTTATCACACATGCGCTGTCAGTGTGTAAACAATACATACATAATAATTACAGTATACTATTGGCCGCAAAATTATTTCGGGTCAACAAATATAACATGTGATTTTCGCGGCGCCCGACTATTACATCCGTGGTCATCATCAAGCGGTCACACACTTTGAACGGTCAATTGGTACATATCAGACACACGCGAGCGGACGGACGGACGGACGGACGGACGGATAAATGGTTTGGCGGCGGCTAAGTCTAATGGATTTGGCCGCTGTCGGCGGTTTTATCGGTATCATCGGTGCCGGCGCCGGACTAACAGTGGTCAACCATCGTCGCCAACAAGTACGCAAACAAGACTACTATAAGCAAGCTATGAAGCTGTTCGAGGCCAATAAGGCAGCCGTCGATCTGGTCGGCTATCCTGTCTACCGATACCGTATTGATTTGAGTGATAGCGAAAACAATTGGTTCGGTCCGATGGCCACTCGTATTAAAGTACCGATCAAAGGTACGAAACGTTCCGGTAATCTACATGTTTGGGCCGATCGAGTGGACACCGATTGCCCGAAGGAATGGACAGTCAGACGCATTGAGATGACATTGGATGACATATACGACAGGAAAGTGTTGGTCTATAAAAACAACGATAAATCTAAAATCAATTCAATTGATTGATTGATTGATAACTATTATAAAAAATAATTATAATAATTGTATTTTTAAATTATAGTTTAAATAATTTTTGTTTGTTTGTATAGTATTTTTTGTATGTTTGTCTATAAATTATATAATATATATAAAAAAAATTGAAAACCTGAATTACCGTAAATTAAAAACTAATAATTATAATATTACAGTACCGGTAATTATATAATCTACGGGTAAAATAGTTGTAATTTTCGGTAATTATTATTATTATTAAACTATGATTTTTGTTGTTGATTACTACTACTACTACTACTACTACTACTACTACTACGACTATTATTATTATTATTATTATCATCATCATAGGTAAGATTCAATTTGTAGATCCTATCCAATCGTTTATCAATTGGTACACCTTTGACGGCAAACAATTTCAACATCAATGACCGCAAATTAAGGCTAACACCACCGATAATCGATAACTTATTATTATTATTGGCCGTACCGGCCACCGACGGCACCAATGTTTCGTTCAATTCGCTTAGAGCCGACTTTCGTTGCTGTAGTTTACGGTAATACTCGACAGCGCCGTCCAAATAGTCGCGGCTCTGTTGACAGGCACTTTCGTCGGCCGCTTTTTGCCAACTCGATACCAGAAAGTCGCGGATTAGAAACCAAACGGCCAGACCAAGCATCATCGACAGACACCGTATACCGAAACTTAGCAAATATCTTCGGCGAATATTCAACTTCAGTATTACTTGTTGGCCGGCGCCGACTGCCAACATACCCGATCCGGCTATCGTAATCATATCGACAATCAGTTTGTTATTGGTTGCCATATGCAACTCCCGTGCAATGGCAAAACGTTTGGCATTGTCGCTGAGTACAAGCGATTCGATCAGCTGTCTGATAGCTGGCCGGCTATTATAATGGTCGGCGGCATTGGCGTCCACCAATTGTTTAGCCGATAGACCACCGATCAATATCTCCGACAGCTTGACATCGTCGACCGTTCGGTAGGCAAAATTATGCGGTAAACCAATATAGGAACCGGTTCGGCTGTCCAGATCGCCGACGGTAATCACCTATTTTTGATTCAAACAAAATGATTATCATCAACAAAAAAAACCCCGATTTCTACCGATCGCCCAAACCTCAGAGCCGTTGCATACGAAGAACTCCATCATCAGATCCATTAGCTTATAGTGGCGGCCAATGTGACAGAAATTCCATTCGCGTAGAGCCAGTAGTTCCAAGTTTTCCTCCAACGGCATCGGTTGGCCATCGCTGTCAGCGGTATCGGCGGCGGCGGTAAATGAAATGAACCGAAAAAACAGATAATAATTAGGACAATGAATCAGTTGATAGCTTAAGAAGTAGTAGTAGTGGTACTAACATATATAGTTGAAACCAATTGCGTTGTCTGTCCAGCAAATAGGTATTGTACGACAAATAGACGGCCACCGGTACGATTGTAGCCGCAAAAGCGGTACAATTGTAGATAAACAACAGCCGCTGGCGTGACATTCGGGACATATCGTAGACAATCTCGGTGTAGGTCTTTCGCCAACTACGCCAACTACGCGACACCGATCTGGTCACTTGGGACCAGCCGAACCGTGATAATTGTCGGGTCAATCGATTCATTGTCGGTTGTTATAAGATAGGTTGCCGGCAGTGGCCACAACCGATACACACACACACACACCCGCTATAAATATCAGACAAAAAAGTTAGTGTTGGCCAGCAATTAGGTGTCCGGACTACTGCTGCCGTAGATTTAATTGTTGATAATTTTTTGTTTTGTTTTGTTTTTGTTTTTTTTGGTGCATTCACTGTAATCACACACACATGTTATGTGTGGCCAAACAATTACAGTACAGTATTATATAGTACTGTAAACACTGTTATTAATACAAACACACTGTTATTATAATATTAATATTAATAATCAATTGTGTGATGCAATGGGCGTATTGGCGCGCATTTCAATTTAGTGTTTGAAATCAATTATATATAACTAATAAGTTATTTAATTATAATAAAATATTTATTTGTTTTTATTATTATAATTTTTAATTGTGTATGTGTAATTTAATAATGATGATAATAATAAACTCTAATGGTTGAGTACAATTTAGTTTTAATTTTTTTGTATAATAGTTTTTTTTGAAAAAACTTTATATATTAAATCATAGCATAGGAATGTATAACATTTTATGACATTATAATAATAGACAATTATTATTATTATTATTATTATTATTATTATTATTATTATTATTAACTTAATCTAATCACTTGTTGTTTAATTATAGTAATAATATTTTGTTTTTTATTATACCAATTAATTTTTTTATGTGTTATGGTATTTAATATATTTATATATCAAAGATATATAGAGATGATAATTTAATAACATTATTAATAACAATTAATTATTTTAGTAAATGGTTGCCTAGATGTTTTATTAGTTTAATAATAATAATAATATTTTAACTAATTTGTAATACTTATATATATATATAACATATTATATAATATATATTTTTAGTTTACTTATTTTTTTAGTTACTTATTAAAAGCATATAACAACAATTAATATAACAATAATATATTGCACCTAATTGTAAAATTAATATTATCAATTTTTTTCAAGTTTAAATTTGATGATAATCATAACCTTTTTTTAAAAAAATTATATTTTAGTACCAAATTATTTTAAGCTTTTTTTAATAGCTCTACAAAAAATGTTAGTTTATTAATATAAAAATACTTTTATATATTTTAATATATTTTTTTTAATAAAAAAAATGTCAATCAAATTAGCTAATAAATTTTTAGATAATACCAACTATAATAATGCAATACTTGAACGAATCAAACATAATGATAAAAATAATAATAATAATAATAATAATAATAGTAATGAATATATCAATGATTATGAAAATTATGATCAATTTGATAGTAATCGTCGACTATCAGCAGTATTTCGTATTAAACAACGTGTTGTCAATCAATTTAGTGTCAAATTAATCAAATCGGTTATCATTTGTATTATTGGATTCCTAACCGTAAGTATTATAATAATAATAATTTTTTAAAAAATAAAATACTATTACAATAATTTTATTTATAATATAACAATATTTGTATATATATTTAGAGTATGTATTCCTATATAAATTGGTTGACACCGACTACTATTGAATCAATTTTGATGGTCAATATAGACAATGATATATCAATAATAATAATCAATTGTAGTTTTACATTGGGAACAGTTATCAATTTGTTAATATGGAAACAATTGGATCTGTATAGGACATCGATGATTATGTTGGTGATAATGGGTTCAACAAATTTTTTCCTAATAATTGCAACTAAATTATTAACATCATCATCATCATCATCAACTGGGTCTATTTTGTATGCCTGCTATGTAGTCGGTGGTCTATCATCGGGTTCACTGTGGACATCATCGATGGTTTGGCTGATCAATCTATGGCGTGACAAATGTGGACCATATTTGCATAGTTTGTGTTTTTTTCAAAGTCTAGGCATTTTCGTTGGTCCCATAATTAGCAAACAATTTCGTCAATCATATCATCAGTTGAATGTCAACAATCAAACAATTAGTGAACAATCAGCTTATGATGATATCAATGCCATAACTACTACCATCACCACCACGACCATCACCACCACGACCATCACCACCACCAACAACATTATAATGCCATTCATACCAAATATTTGCCTATTATTTATGTCCATATGTTGTCTACCATTGATAATCATTATGATGGCTAACGATAGATTTAATTACAATAATAATAATAATCGTAAAAAATTTCGTAGACATAATAATCTAAATAATAATAATAATAGACAATTATTATTGTTAAATGAAATAATCCAATCATCTAGTATTGAATCAATTAAATTGGCCAAAAAATTTACCTATATCATCATGGTACTTATATTGTTGATGGCATATCAATGTCAAGAGTATGCTAATATAAAATTATCTAGATATTATTTTGATAATTATCTGGATGATAAATCAATATATGGTATTATTATTATTATTTTATATTGATTTTTATAATTTTTTTATAATTAATTAATTTAATTTTTTTATATATATATAGATAATAACATCAATTTTAATAAACTAATTATCTATTGTTCAATAATAATATTCCGTATGATATCAATAGTATTATCAATATTTATAAAACCACACTATCTATTGATAGCAAGTTTGCTAATAATTTCCATTTCAAATATAGCATTGATTTTATTTGCTAAACATTCATTGATTTTATATTTAATTGTAAGTAATCATATAATAATAATAATTATTATCATTATTTAATGATAATTTTATTTATAGATTAATATAATAATGGGATCGGGATTTGGTGCCTATCCTACAGTAATCTATACATTAATTCAACGATACATTCATCTCCATAATAATAATAACAATAATATTATAATTGCAACAATATTTTTTCAATCATTACTCTCAACAGTACTCAATCAATTAGTTGATAAACTAATTGTTAATAATAACTATTTGTTTTATATTTGTATGAATTATTTGTCAATTATTGTAACATTGATTACCGTATCATTTCTATTGTTTTCAAAAATACATATAAATTCTGGTAGTTTTACATTAAAACGGGTCGAAACTGAAACCCGGGTTAAGTTTTCCGATGAATACGATAGTGATGTCAATAGTGATTACAATAGTAAAGCTGTTAGCAGTTATCATATGAAATTCAGAGATACATCTATTGTTAGTATTAATTAAAATTATAATTATAATAATATTATCAAATATGATATAAAAGTCAAATCAATTTAGATTTGTATTTTAGAAATTATTATAAATAACAAAAAAAAATTAAGGAATTAATAATATGTTTGTATATAGAAACTAATTACCGGTAATATATTGTTAAATAAAATGTAAAATAAATACCTGTATATTAAAAAATAAAAATATTTACTAATAACTATCAATAAATTAAATTAATTTTCTCATATAAACTATATGTATACACATAGAAAATTAACTTAATTTATATTAATCATCACTGAACTTGATCATCTATTATTAAAATTTAATTATTAAAATTTTAATTAAATACATCATTTATTTTTTTAAAAAAAATATGATATAATATGTAAAATATATAATAGCAATAGTAAGCAATAGTTAAAAAATATATATATAATTAAATTACATATTTGAAAACTATTTATGTATTCAAAAAAAAAAATAATTAAAACCCAAGTTTATGTATCCAACCGGACCTGATCTGTGCCTTCCGGTCCTCGAGAATGTCCACATTATTCGGTTGCATTAGTTTCCAGTCGTCGCAAACCACTTGCCTGACAACGTCGCCGTCGGCCTGTTTGGTCAACAGTTCCAGATTGATGTCCTTATCGGGCGCCCCGATCGGTACCATCAGGTGGCCGCCAATCTTCAGCTGATCGATCAGTCGTTGCGGTACTCGACGGGTAAGCGGTTCGAGAAATATCAGATCGTACGGTGCTTCGGGTAAGTAACCGAATCGGCCGTCGCCTAAATAAATGTTGACCACACGCGTCTCCTTTAGCCAGCCGTAGTAGCGGTCAATGGTTTCGTTAGCCGACTGAACCAATTGGTGGATATGTTCGATGCCGACCACTCGTCCCGTCAGCGGTTCCAACATCGACCCGATACAACAGGTTAGATAACCAGATCCCGAACCAATGTCCAATACTTTACAGCCGCTGTGGCCGTGCAAATAACGGTCCAGGTATTGCAATAATGCCATATCGTAGGTGGCCGGCCCGGTATGGGCTCCGTGTCCTATACCGCGAACGTGATGTAGTGTATAGCTTGAAGCCGACGGTGCAAACAATCCCCGATCGATGGTCAACATAGACCTGATTACCCGTTCATTTGTTAGCGAATATCTAGTTTTCAATGTATGAACTAATTGTCTATTATCTACTGATGTCTCAATTTTTATATCATTTATACTAAAATTATTATTATTATTATTATTATTAACAGTTAATAATTTTTGATGATTTAAATTATTATTATTATTACTACTACTACTACTACTACTACTATCACTACTAGTAGTAGTAGTATTCATACCATCATATGAGTGATCAATACAATCGTCACATTCATCCACATCTGACAACTGAATCAAATCATTCATGTCTGCAGTTATCGACAATGTATTGAATGAATTGGAAATTAAATCATTATTAATATTATTGGCATTAGTATTATGTTTGTGACTATTATTATTGAATTGATATGAAATTATTGACGCTTTAATTGTATCACTAGATTGTTGTTGTCTATCAGTACTTAATTTATCATTTTCAGTACACAACAACTGATCCAATAGTTTGACCACTTCTTCATATTTACCACTGAGTTGACAATTATCTCTACGCAAGTCATCAATCTGTTCAGTCAGTTGTCTTCGTTCAGCGACTAACTCATGATTTCGGTGTTTCAATTCGTTGATCTGTTTCGTTGACATTTCAAGAATATTCTTCAAATGACTGACACAGTTATGTTCATTCGTATAACTACACCGTCGGCTGACAACAGCACCGCAATTAAGCGGACAATCAATTTGCTGGTCCATAGCCTCGGGATTGTATGCACACTGTGACCGATGTCCCGGAAGTTCATCGATCGGTACCCTTTCCCGACAGCCATTGTCGGCAAAGTCACACTGAATGGCCAGCGACGAGATCAGTGTCTTGAATGACCGCTGCGGCGGTCGCAGTGACTGCTGGTCGACCACTTGCCGATCGATTGGACACGTCTTGTTGTTGTTGTCGGCGGTAGCTTCGGCGGCGGTACAATTGGTAAACCATTGGCCAATACATTGGCCACAAAATACGTGTTCACATTCCTGAAGAATTACAGGTTCCTGAAGAATGTCGCAACAAATTGGACACAAAAATTCTTGGCGAATGTCCGACTCGTTAAACCTTTTTATATCAAATCCCATAATAATAATAATAATAATTAATATTTATTTATTTTATTTGTTGATAACTATTGATTAAAACTATTGATTTTTATTTAAAAATATATTTATATAATATATATATATTTAGTATGCACTTTGTTATTACAACAACAAAATTATTATTATTATTATTACAATATTTTTAGATAATTTAGATAAATTGCAATACTTTAAGTATATTTTACTTTATATTATTGTGTCAATCACAATATGAAATGTTTCATTTAAAATAATAATAATAATGTTTATTTTTATTTTTGAAATCATTATAACTATTAGTAACCATAAAAAAAATTTGGTGATAATAGTTTATGAAATATATTTTTTATTTCACTGATATCATATATATATACTGTTATATATATATTTAACGGTTATATACTGTACTACTAGTAAATTGAATATTTGTTTGATATTTAATATAATAATAATAATACTAATGTTAGATAAAGTAAAAAAATCCCCATTTTTTATTAGTGATGAATGAATATAATGTTATTGATATTTCCTAAACTATTAATAATATATTTATAGTAATTTTTAAAAAAAATATCTATTACATTATTATTAAAATATAATAATAATATTTTCAAAAAAATTTATATTGTATTAAAATTTTGTGAATGAAAATAATTACAAATATAAATATAATTAATACATTTTTTTAAAAAAATAAACAAATAGCATAATCATCACTGCACATAATAACTTGAGAGCAAAAAAAATATTTATTTGATGAATAATCCATAATCATTTTTGATAAGATTATTTAATTATTTATTTTTTTTCAGGGAAACATAATGTAATAGATTTTATGTTAGCTAACAAATATTTATTAAAACAATATATTTGATTGTTTTTATAAAAATTAAATTAAATCTAATTATAATTTTATAATTATAAACATTTAATAACACATTATTAAAATGCAATAAATATATTATTAGTATTAGTATTAGAGTATTAGTAGACAAATATTTATATATTTATTTAATTTAATTTATTGATAGCTATTATAGTCATAAATCCTGGTAAATATCAATTATTTAATATATTGAAAAATTTTTTTTTATAAATATTTTATTGATAAATAAATATTATTGCACTTTTTCCCCTTTAAATAAAGACATTTTTTCTAAAGTGTTTTAATATATAATATTAAATAATTATAATATAATATAAATTATTATAATATAATATAAATAATTATAATAACATAATATATATTAAAATAATTGTCTTATATTTTTTTAATAAAATATTTAAATAGAATTATTATATAAAAATAATAATTATTATTTAATAAATTATAATTTATTAATATTGTTTTTTTGGATTTTAGAAAATAATAAATATTAAATAAATAGTTAAATAAAAGTAAATATTTTTTTTATAAATTTATGACATTGTTTAACAACCAATTAATATAATTTAGTTCAAATTTTTGTTGTTGTTGATATTTTATGAATAATTTTATATAAATACAAAACAATAAAAAAAATTAATTAAATATAAAAAACTATCATGTTAGTTAGATTTAATAATGTAATTATATTTTTTTAAAAAAAAATTAAGTTTTTATCTTTATCTATTAAATTAAATAATTTTATGTATGTGTGTATAAATTGTTGGCATAATTTTCTGTTTGTAATATTTAAAAAAATAAAAATAAAATTAAAAAATTAATAATAAAATATAAACATTTTAATGTCTAAATGAAGTCCGTTTGACAAGTCCTGACTGATTATCTGCCGGGAACTCATTGTTTTCGGTTCTCTGGTAACCCCTGTTATCATAGGAATAATAATTTCGGGATCTCTGACCGCCAGCACCTGCTGCTGCTGCTGCCGATGACGATCCCTGAGCCATATGATAGCTATCGGTACGTTTGGGTATATTATCGACTACTCGGCGCTGTTGATAGTAGACATCACCACTATTAGCACCATTACCGCCAGCAGCACCGTTAGCTGCATCCAAATAGCTGCTCCTCTGAGCCAATGATGAACCGTACGGCTGCTGCTGCTGCTGATGGCGATTGTTGGTGTTGTTGTTATCATAGTTTGATCGGGCATTTTGTTGTTGGGGTTTTGGTGGCGGTTGCGGCTTATTTAACGATACCCGTGGTATGGATATAATATTGTTGACTTGCAATATAGGCTGAGCACTGTTAATACTATCGGTGCTTAACTCCGGCTGCTGTTGCTGTTGTTTACCACTATTTATATCATTATTGTTATCTTCACGATTGATACCACCACCACCACCACTGATGGTAAATGTTTTGGGCGGTTGTGTCAAACTGACCCGATTGGTCAACGATTCCTGTCTTTTATTATTATTATTATTAGTGTCGCCACCACTATTGACCGGTGCTGTCGGTGGCGGCGGCTGATTGTTGGCATCATAACTGTCCACAAAATTACCCCAATTGTTTGCATGAGACAACTGGCGTTTTTGATTGTTAATCTCTCGGTCACGTTGGTAAACATATATTATCAAGGCAAGCTAAAAGTATTCAAATAAAAATAAATTTAAAAATAATTATTAAGCTAGCATATTTATTATGAAATTATTATTTTTAAATTTTTTTTGTGATTACAAACCAAAATTATCCACCAAATAGGTCCACCAAATTCAATAAAATCAATGATAACTATAAGTTCAGCAAAAATCGGTTTTCCCTGTAGTTCATCAATACCTTTATCGCTTATCTCTTTAAGATCATCCTAAAAAAAAATTTTTTAATTAGTAATTAATAGTTTTATTAATTAAATATTATTTTTTTTTATATTTTAAATAAAAAATTTACCGCAAACTTGACACAAACATACACACATACGCCAATTGAATAGATAATCCTAATTGTTGTTATTATTTGCCAAAATTTCAAACATTTACTTAACTCTTTCTATATAAAATCAAACAACAAAAATAAATAAATAAATAAATAAAATAATTATGATTTAAAATCATAAAATAATTTTTTATGATTTTTTAAATTGTTTAAAAAACTTACTGAGTTGCCTATAAATAATACAATTGCCGATATAAACCAAATAGCACGTATGGCCAGCTTAATAGCAACCAATGCAATTAGTACTAGATAAATTTTTAATTTAAATTAATTAAATAAAATTTTTTTAATTAATTATAATAATAATAATTAATATTTACTTGTTTTGGTATCGCCATTGATTTTATAAAACGACAATATGGTATTAGTAAAATCATCAGTATCAATTGATGGCTCGTTTTTGTGTGTTAACAATGATAATACAAATGCATCAAATGCTAAATAGCCTAGACAGTCGAGCTAGATTAAAATATTTATTATAAAAATTAGCATGCTAAATTAATAAATAATAATAATAATCAAAATCAATTACTATTGTTAAAACACCGGCTGTTATTGTCGATGCAAACAATGTACAGCCACAGCATCCCATTGTTTTTTTTGTGGTTTGTTTGTTTGCTCAATCAAAAAAAAAATTGAACTAGATAATAAATTTAATTATTTTAAAAAAATATATAATTAAACACAAAAAAACAATTTTTAAAAATTCAATTACATTGCACACTTAATAGTTAAAACTAATAAAATCAAGCATACACACACAATATGACTGTACAAAATTGCTTCAATATAATGTAATATACCTTATTTTTTTCTAATTTAAAGTATAACCATGATAAGTTCAATAATAAATATAACTTACAAAATACCACCACTAAAAAAACTATAAATACTATATTTAAATATATCAGTAATTAATACTAACAGTGAAATAGTGTGTATATTAATTATTGATATAAAATTTTTTTATGTGTGTGTGTGTGTGTGTGTGATACCTAAACTATTGCACTAATATAATAAAATAATTGTTGAAAATTTTGTTATTTTATTTAATATAATAAAATAAAACATTATTATTATTATTACAGTATTACCACTATATTATCATCACTACTTACGACAAAAAATTTATTATTTTTTTTTGCTGATAAAAAAATTATTAGTAGTTTTTATTTTATTTGTTTGTTTGATGAGATAATAGCTAACAGTAACAACAGTTAATCTTAGACAAATGTCAACTAATTATTATTATTATTATTATTATATGAAAAAATTAATATATATTTTTAATATATTAAATATTTATTATTAAACTTTCATAATTATATCTAATATTATTTTAATTGATAATATTTTCTTTTATACATTCATATAATTAAAATTGATATAAATAACATTTGAGTATTTTTTAAAATAAACTATTTTTTATATTCAATTGATTAATTTAAATCATAGAAAATAAAAATGATTATAACATTCAAATAATAATAAATATATAAAATTGAAAAATCACTTTTTCAACAAAAAAAAAATAAGTAAATAAATCTATAATTATAAGGAATTACTGTTTGATTTGATATATTGATAGTACAGTATATATATATATATATATATATAGTATATCTATTTGTTGTGTAAATTTCATTATTAGCTAACAATAATAATGATAACAGTTTTTTTAGTTATTAGTTTTTAGTTAATTCCTATTTCAAATAAATAATATTTTAATAATAGATATAATAAATTTTATTTGTGAACTAAACGTAAATATTTAATTTGACAACAAAAAATAAACAGATAATATATATATATATATATATTGTAGTAAATTAGCTAAATGTCACGTTTTGTTATTATTAAATTATATATATATATATATATATATATGTTCAGAAAATAATAGTATAATTTATTTACTAAACTAATATCATAATGATTTACAAATAAATAAAATAATAATAATTATAAAAGTAGTAGTAATTAATGATTTATTAAAAATTAAACAATATACTTTCTATTAATTGGCAATTTTGTATTACTAAAAAAATGATTTTTATTTTTATAAAATAAATATAAAACTATTAAATTAAAATAAAATAAAAATTTTAATTATTTTTTCCTAATAGTCATTTAAATATTATTTATAATTTAAATATTATATAAACAATTTAAATACAAGTTAACCTGTTATGTATATCTAAAAATAAAAACTAATCATAGATTTTTAACACTTACAATAAATTAAAAAAAAAAATTATTGCATAGTTATTATAGTGATACAAAACTATGATAATTATATATATCATTAAATTCATGCTAAAATTATACATTTATAGATTAAAAAAATAAAATAAGTAAAAATACCCGGTACTAAAACAATTGATTATATAATGATAATAATTGTTTAGTTGGATTATCACTAATTATTAGCTAAAAAAAATTTCTAATACAATAAAAACCATTTATGTTTTTTAGTTGAAATTTTATTACCCCTGTATATTATTACAATTATAGTAATTTACAATATTATTGTTAAATAAAATTAAATGACTATTATAGAAAAATTAGTGTAATATTATTATTTTTTGATATATATATATATATATAAATTACATATATTTATCTAATTTTTTCAATGACTCATATTTGCTAAAATAATATAATAATTTTTTTTCTTTTTTTTACTTGATTTGATAAAATTATTATAATATTATAGATATAAAAAAATACTTTACTTTATAGTATAATAAAATAAAATAAAAACTTTTTGATAAATAATGTATGCAATAATAATAAATATTAATAAAAAATATCTAATATTATCATTTATATATAACTATTTTATGAGAAATAAAAAATTATTGAAATATCTTCAAATAATTATCAATTAATTCAATTATAATTACAAAAAATAAGTAAATTTTATGGTTATCTATAATTTATTTAAAAATTAAACTTAAAATATTAGCTATTATTATGATTATTATTTATGACACTATTATACTATATTAATATAAAAAGATTTTCTATTAATAAATTTTTTTTATAATATTTAGTTACAAAAAAAAAGTTTGAATCTAATAAAATAAAATTATTATCTAATAATAATAATTATTATTTTTAAAAAAAAATATTAATATTTAAATTATAGAAAAAAATTATTACTAAATTAATTCATTATATAAATAATAATAATAATAATAAAATCTATTAATAAATACTAACTAAATAATAATTATAATAAAAAGTTTTTGATAATATTTTAATTGCAAAATACCTGTAAAATAAACTTTTAAATAAAAACTGTAATAAAATATAATACAAAAAACATACAACACTTGTGTGCCATCTATTGGTTTGTATTGTCAACCAATCGTATTGTTTGTATGAGTGTTGTTGTCATTCATTCAAACAGTCAGTCAATCAGTCTCTGTCTGTCTGACTGTTGTTGTGTCCATAGTTTAAGTCCACAACAACAACAACAACAACAACACTAAAGATATGTCAACATTGGATCAATTGGAGACCAATTTGGAGTCGTTGACCGAAAATGTCAGGCAATTGGGTATAATTGTTAGCGACTTTCAGCCGCAAGGCCAGGGACAGACTGCTCTCAATCAGAAACTGTATGTATTATTCTATGGAGGAAGGGGTTACCATCTCGATGACCACTTGACTGTATCATTATTTAAAAAAATAGCAACCAAATTGTTACATCATTGCAAGACATTGACCGCATCCGTACGGATATGATTGGCAAGAATAGCGATATTCAAGTGCCGCTCGACGTCTTCGAGTAAGTCATTCATTTGGTGTCATCGATGTCTTCATTAGCTCTCTCTGTCTGTCTGTCTGTCTGTCTCTCTCTCTCTCTCTCTCTCTCTCTCTCTCTCTCTCTCTGTCTCTCTCTCTCTCTCTGTCTGTCTCTCTCTCTGTCTGTCTCTGTCTCTCTCTCTCTCTCTCTCTCTCTCTCTCTCTCTCTCTCTSTCTCTCTCTGTCTCTCTCTCTCTCTCTCTCTGTCTCTTTCTCTATGAGTGAAGACACAATTTATTCATAACTTTTGTTTGTTTGTTATCATCCGTACTAACAGTTACATCGATACCGGCCGTAATCCTCAGCTCTATACCAAAGACTGTATGGAAAAAGCGTTGCACAAGAATGAGTCCGTCAAAGGAAAGATCGACTCCTATCGGGTCAGTAGTAGTAGTAGTAGTAGTAGTTGTTGTTGTCTATCCTATATCTGATCCTATTTTTGTTGTTGTGATAATCATTGTTTATTAACAAATCTCTTTACTGTCTGTATGTTTGTTGTTAACAGAGATTCAAAGCCATGCTTTTGGTCGAGTTGTCCAAAGTTTTTCCTAACGAAATGGGCAAATATCGGGCGGTTAGGGGCGATGAAAGGTCGTCCAATTGATCCAATACCTATCGGTGATGACGATGATGATGATGAACACACCAGTTATATCTTTACACATATTAATTACTCTCTATCTATCTATCTGTCTCTCTGTATATCATTTTGTAAAAAATAATAATAATATTTAATTTATATTTGAATTAATAATTTACGTAAAGTTTTATTTTTTAATAATTATATTATTAAAATTAAACTAAAAATAATTATAGTAATAATTACAGTATTACCGTATAAACGGTAATTATCGGAAATCATACAAAATAATAATAATCATATATATATATATATATAAAAAATTCAGTATAAAAATAAAAATGTTTGTCTAAATATCCATACATTAATAATTATTGTAATAAATTATTGGAATTATAATAATAATAATTTAAATAAATTTTTTTTTTTTGAAAATATTAATGTCATTTATAATTATAATTATCATCGGGTTGTCAAATGACATGACATCACAGATACCTGAGGTCATCATCTAAAGTATATATATATATATAATGAATGATTATATGATATACTTATTAATAATAATAATAATATACCGGTAATTATTATATTGCAATTAACAACACAAATAAAAGACAAACCAATTGATAGATTGATTGGTAATTTATATAAAAAAAAACACTTATAAAAATTGATTTTTTTAAAAAAATACGGTATATATACCGTATATACGATACTAACTTACGGTAGCATACAATTGGACAACCGATTGTATTATTATGACCGATACTACTACTACTACTGTCTCTCTCTMTCTCTCTCTCTCTCTCTCTAACTATCTATCTATCTATCTCTCTGGTGGTTATACTGGACCGTACGGTACTGTTTTGTTTAGCTAACAGTCCTATATTATGACCATAAGTTTCACATTAATTTTAAGTATACCCTACCCGTCCATAACAACAGTACGGTCAGTGATATCTAAACATACACACAAAAAGAGAGAAAGAGAGAGAGAGAGAGAGAGAGAGAGAGAGAGAGAGAGAGAGAGAGAGAGAGAGTACCGTATATTCAAGTTATGTGTCAATTGTATTGTAAAAAAACATTTAAAAAAAATCTATGATATAATTATACTATAAATACAAATAAAATAAATAGCAGTCAATGTAATAATAATTATATTAAATTAATTGTCAAATCTTCAAGTGTTCAATGATATTGTTCTTCATTTGCTGTCTCGGCTTCAGTATTAGTCTTCCGTTGTCATCGCAAGACATGGCAAAGTCGGCCAATACTTGTCTGGTCCGCGATATTATGCTAATTATTATTATACACAGTATGATCGGTAAAAGAGATATAAGTATCGGTAAACAAATTGGTCAATTGGTTGGCGGCGACTACTGTCGTCGGCCAACAACAACAACATCGGTAACCCGACTGCCCGATAATCAATACATACATTGAAGTGGCCACCACTCGCTTGTGTATACCCATCGAAAACAAGGCAATCAATATAAGACAATTGATTGTAAACAAATAGTGACCAATCAATGAGTCCAACAATGATATATAGGCTGTTTGCGGATCGTTTAGCCAATTGAATGCCGAAACACTAGTGGACAGCGACGATACCAATAGTATTATACGCCAGCGACGGGTGGCCGGCCTTTCGATGGACACAATTTCCATTAGCCGTCGCTCGAAGGCCTTGAGATCTGTACGCCGGCAGCGGCGGTAAAAACAAACAAACATTAAAAAGTGTGGTCAGATTTTTGGTTGTAGTTGTTTCGGGTGGTCAGACAATCGCGGTGTGATTATGACATACCATCGCATATCATCTGATCCGTAGTGTATTGTATGGTCTGTGACTGCATTGTCATCATCGTTGTCGTTGTGGTCGCTATGGGAGGGCGGGCGGGAGGTTTCGGGTGGGGTTTATCACAATTGGTGGTCACTATTATTACGGTATTAGTATTATTAACGTCAATATATCACTGTATTTCACATTGAAATTGTTTGCTATTATTATTGGTATTACTATTGGTTTCTATTGTTATTAATATAATTTGTTGTGTAATGTTATGTTTGCAAAAATGCATGTATAGTACTGTACAGTATATATGTATTGCATTCATATACAGTGTATAATAAATAAAAAATATTACATAACCTATGATAGAGTCAATGATATTATATAATATTATTATTACTGATATATAATGTTTCACATTATTATTAATTTTTTTAAAAAAAATATATCTAATGTTAAATATAATATCCAATGGGTTACTATTATTTTAATACATAGTATTATTATAATAATAATAATTAATTTTTATTATACTGTAGGGTTATATTATTATTATTATTATCTAGATAAAATTGGAATTATTTTTAAAAAATTTTACCATGTTGAAAAAAAATTAATATAATTTTTGTCACAAATAACGTTATATTAGTTGAGATTTAAAATAATTTTTTTTTGTTATAAATTTTATAAATATAATTAAATAAAAATAATAATAATTTACTTTTAAAAAAAAATCAAATATTTATTATAATTATCATATATATTGAATATTATAATAATTAAAAGTAAAATTTTTTAAGTATATATATTTATATATATGATTAATTTGAATGCATATATAATAAACACAATTGAATTTTAATATATTAATAGTTAAAATTAGAAACTATATATTATAATATTTGAAGTTAATTAACAACAATAAGAAAATAAAGTAAAAATTATAATTTTATCGTATGATGATTGCAATTGTATTTAAATTTATCTATAGTTAAATAGCAAACAATAAATAAATTATAAAAAAAATAATAATAATAATTGTATAAAAATTGATTATACTCTAGAAGACAATCAAATACAAATTTTAAAAAAATAAATTATATAATATATGAATTTTTATTTAGTTATTTAATTTTATTGATGAATCAATTATCATAATAATAATAATTATTATTATTATTATTCAATCTATTATTTAATATGCGGAATTATTTATCAGTAAATTAGAAAAATAAAATTAAAAAAAAATAAATAAAATTGTTTTTATTTACTCAAACAAAAATTATATATATATTATTATATATATATTTTTTCCCCAAATAAATCTGTCTGTATATGTATGTACTGTAGTATTAAAAAATTTAAATTAAAAACTGAAAATGAAAATGATTTTAATTTTATTTTACTTTTTGCTTCTTCTATTTAGTGAAAAATTTATTTATTATTATTATTTATTTGAATCTATTATATTATATTATTTATTTTTTCATAATCTAATCAATCAAATGGATATAAATTTTTTTTAAATTTTATTTTATAAAGATTTTTTATTTAGTACTGTTTTTTGTTTGACCCTTATATTTGTGTTGTACTAATTCATTGAATACAAACAAAAAAAATTGATACCAATAAAATGTGACATCAAATTTTTTGTGTGTTTGTTGATTATATATATATTTATTATATTTTCATTTTATATATATTGTTTAGGCATTCATATTCATACATATATATATATTTATTGGAGATTATTATTATTATTATTATAATAAAAAATATTATTTTATATGCTTATCTTGTTGTTGTTGTTGTTGCTTATGATGTCCTGAATTGACTAAATAATTTATTTTATATTATATAAAAATTTTCAATAAAACTAATATGATTTTACTTTGCATAATATTTAAATTAAATATTATATTATTATTATTAATAGTAATAATAATTTTATAAATTAAAAATCTATTAATATATGTATATACGATATGCGAATACAATATATGATTTTTTAAACAACAAAAAAACTGATTAAATAATTATAAAAATATTTTAATTTTTTTGTGCTATTTTTTAATATGATAGTACAGATTATTATTATTATTATTAAGTTAAACAATGGTTTGTTTTATTTTTAGATAGTATCATCATATACAATACAAATAGTTTATGTTAATAATAATAATAATAATACAAGAAAATTGAATTATTATTATTATTATATTATATATTAATTTTATGATAATAGCTATGTTTTAGAAAATCATTAAATAAATCTAATCATTAAAACTACTAATAATAATAATACAGTAATAGCAACAAATTAAATTTATTTTAACTAATTTAACATTTCTATAAAAAATTCTAAAAACACTATAATAATAAATAATAATAATTATAATTTTATTATAAAGTTAGTTAAACTCATCATTTAATAGTTTTTTTTAAAAAAAATAAATATTAAATAAATATTTTAATATATAAAAAACAATAAGCAATATATTAATTTATATAAAAAATTTTTATAGTTAATTATGTAAATATTAATTTTACAATATTGTCGATTGTGTTTTTGTTGTTGTTGTAGTTTTATTTTCATCATATATTTATATAAATATAAATATTTAGTAAAATATTTACTAACAATTATGAAAACATTAAAACAATATACTAAATAAAAATAAAAATAATAATAAAATAAAACAAATATTGATTCAGTCATAACTGTCTTTTAAGTTAAGTTATAAATTTTTTTACAATCGATAGCTTCCTCACAATTTGATGTGATTTAAGCAAAAAAAATAAAATTAAAAAAAACAATAACAACAAATAAAAAAGTTTTTATTTTATTTTTTGTGTAAGCAATTTGATGTCACTTTACTTAACAATATACACTATATTATGAATTGTTTTTAATTAAATTATAATAATTTTATAATAAACTATATTATTATTCACAAAAAAAACTTATTATGATGTTAATTTTTAAAAAAAAATTATATTAAATTATTGTATATAATTTATTAATTGTTGCATATATATTATATATATATTTAAAAAAAATAAAACTAAAATTTATAATTGTACTATACTTAATAAATATTAATATCTTTATTTAATAAATAATTTGTGTCTAATATATATTTTATTTAAATAAAAAAAATACACATTAACTGTCAATATTATATAAAATCAGGCTGTATAATAATAATAATAAATTTATACAAATTTTATTTTTATTTAATAATAAAAAATACAACAAATTAAAACAAATTTATTAAATTTTATTTTATTTTAAATTTATTGTTAATTTTAAATTCACAGTCTCTCTCATAGCTAAATACTAATTAAATGCTAATATAGTATAAATTGTTTTGTTTAACAAAATATATTGTTTGCTCAAATAAAAAAAAATTTAGACCAAAAAAAATTTAATTTAGCAAAAAATAAAAATTATTTTTATTGCTAATTTTTGTAAATTGATAAAATCCAATTGTGCATATTAATATAAGATAAGCCTAATTGGCACATATATTATAGTAAAGTATTATTATTATTATTATACTGTAGTTTATAAAACTATTAACCAATTTTTGATTACTTTATTATATTATTGAAAAATAAGTATATATACATATATTTGTATAATAAAAAAAACTGTATAGATTTTAACAGTAATTTAAATTTTATTTGTGAACTATTGCTCTCTCTCTCTCTCTCTCTCTCTCTCTCTCTCTCTCTCTCTCTCTCTCTCTCTCTCTATGTCTCGCATTTTGCTAATAACGTGATTAATAAATTTAATAGCTTTCGGCTAAAAGAGTGAGAAAAAAATATTTTTGTTGTTTTTTGTTGTTGTTGTTGTTGTAGTTGTATATTCTGTATGTTTAATGCATATAATAATATTATATAAGATTATTAAAAGCCAAGAGAGAGTACTTATATTTATATATATATATATATATGATGTTTATTATGCAGACACACACAGCAACAAAAAAACATTGCTTGAATTTTAAAACCCATACATACATACATACACACACACACACACACACACACACATACTGTATTTTCCTTAAAGTAATAGACTAATAATAAAATTATAATATTTTAAAGAGAGAGAGAGAGAGAGAGAGTAAAAAAAGTAAGTGAATGAGTGAGTTAGTGAGTGAATAATTAGTGGGTGAGTGAGTAAGTGAGAGAGAGAGAGAGAGAGAGAGAGAGAGAGAGAGAGAGAGAGAGAGAGAGAGAAACCTCAATATAAGTCAATGTATTGTTATTGGGGATATAGAAAACAGGGATGACTTGTATAATACATACAAAGTAGTAGTAGTACTAGGGATGAGAGGTGAGAGTGGTTTACAATACACAATGTTTTTTCAGGGAAAGGTATATAAAGTGGAGCGCCTCATCATTTTGGGAACTACACACACATGTGCCAAATTTTTTACCTGTTTTTTTTAATAAAAGATTGAAAATTTTTATAAAACCCGCATCATCTGTATATTTATATATAAAATATATATGAGTCTCATCTATAATACAATTGCTGAAAGATTAGTGTAATATTTATTATTATTATTAAGTAAAAGTGTTGTCTATTAAATCAATTTTTTATATATATATATAAAATACATTGATTTTCATCAAATTTTGCTCAAATATTTTTGTTAAAAAATTTGTTTCTTTGTGAGACACAAAGTTTTTTTCAAATAATAATTTATTTTTTATTCATAAGTGAGTTATATATATATTTATATAAATTAATTTTAATCATAATATTATAATATTTCAATTTTAAATTGTTATTTATATCTACAGAAAATTTCAAACTATTTTTTTTGTAACGATGAAGCTATTCATTACAGTATTTTTAGGTAAGTTTAATATATATTTAATAATATAATAGTAGATAAAATAATTGATATATTGATATGATTATAAATATTCTGTTTTTATTAATATCATATTTTATTTACTTTATTACTACAAATTTAATTAATTATTTTTATTTTACTAATATTTTATAAAAATTATAAAATATAAAACACTTTATTACTTAAATAGTTGTTATGTTTTATTCTATACAACAGATATTAATTATTTTTAATTTATAATAATAATAATAATTATTATTTTGTAAAAATAAAGTGATAAACTATGCCTTAATAACTTTTAAAAAATATATAAATAAATAAATATAAATATAAATTATATATACAATAAAAATATTTATAAATCCGATCTTAATGTATGTTAAATATAAAATAAATTACTTGAGTATTCATTCAGTTATGCAAAAACAATATACTTATTAAAAAAAATAATACTATATTGTTATTTATAAACATATAACACATTAGTTGAAAAAAAAATATAATTTATACTTTTATCTAATGTCTTGTTAATAAATTTAATTTAAAATAATTGCATTTTTAAAAAAATTTATATCTATTTATATCATTTATATTTTATACTGTATATGGTTTTTTTAATTTTATTTAAAAATATTAGTTGTAACATTCAAGTACTTTATTATTAGTATTTTTGTTATATTTAAATACTTAACAAAAAAGTTTATAATGTTTTTTAGAAATGCATTTTTAAGTATTAATTAGTTCATCCAAAATATTTTTAAAAAAATAAAACAAATAGTCTATAAATTTTACAAATCTATTATAAGAAACACTTTTAGAGAGAAAGAGAGAGAGAGAGAGAGAGAGAGAGAGAGCGATAAAAGTTAAAAAAAACTAAAACATTAAACAAAAATAAATAACAAATAAATCTAGAAAACAGTAAACAATAATAAATTGCTAATAAAACATATGGTAAAATTTATTTATATTTATAAAAAGTAATTTAAATTTAATTTATTAATATTATAAAATAGTGTTTTAAGTTATTTATATAATAAAATTATTTTATTTTGATAAATATATTTTTATATAATTAAAAATAAACATATTGATTTAGTAAACATTATTTTTAATATTTAGTTAAGGTATTTATAGTTAGTATATTTATAAATTATAATACAATACATATTAATATATATATATAGTATATAATACCATATATAGTATTAATATAACAATATTTTGAAAAGCGTGTTATCAATTAATAGTTTAATTTGTTTGACAATAAAATATTTAAAAATTATTTCCTGTATAAATGTTTTTTATTATATACACTATTTTATGTATATATATGTATATAAGGGAACAGGTATACTAGTAAACTAACTGTTCCTTATTGATGGCTTTCATCATCAAATTATATGATTGAAAGTGATGCTAATGTATCCACAAAAAAATATAAATAAAAAATTTGAATGACAGCTCAATCTACAAGTTTTATATTATATTATATATTTATATAATATATGTATTGTCAATAATTTAGTGTATAATCTTAATAACAACATTATAGACGCTATTAATAATAACAATAATGAAATAAATAAATAGAAAATGTTTTGACTGGAAAATTATAAAATACAAAATAATAATAATAATAAAAATAAAATAATAATAACAAATTATTTCCACTTTAATTTCCTATAGCGTTCAATAAATATTTTCATTTATTGTTGTTATATTTGTAAAATAAATTGGGTTTTAAAGGATTAATAAATATTTTTGTTTAACAAAAAAATAATTTATAAAAATTTAATATCCATTTTAAAAATTATTAATAAAATCTTTATATATTTTATATATGATAGTATAGTTGAAACTAAATATGTTTTTAAAAAATAATTTATATTATAAATTATATATATTTTTAAAAAAATATATATATGAAATCTAACTATTAAACTAATTTATATTTAAACTTTTTAGTGCATACATTTACAGTATTATTTATTTATTTATTTTATTATCATTACAATTACTGTATTATTTATTCACTCAATTATAGTATTTTTTTCAAAAAAACCGTTTAATTAACATTGTTTTATTGCAAATATAAAACTAAATGAAATAATAAATATTTACAACAACAACAACAAAAAGTTTGTACGCGTATTGAAAGTAAATGTAATTTTTTTGAAAAGTAAATTAAGTAAAACTATTTTCAAAAAAATACTTTTATTATATATTTTTTGTTATTTATACATATATTTATGTATATTGTTTAGATAGGGGGTAGGGGGTAAATAAAGTTAAAATAAAACTTTATATATATATTGATATATAGTTTTCTGGGGCTAAGGAAGCGTATCTAATATTATAACATTTTTAGCACACATTGTGATAAATGGCAATAAAAAAACATTTATATTTATGTATATTATTTAAATATATATATTTTTAAAAAAACAAAATACCCAATAAAATGTTAATAATCGCATCACTGACTAGTATAGGGCTCTCAAAAAAAAAATTAACAAAAAACATTATATTCGTGACCTAAACAACAACATCAAGCCATCCAAACACATACATACAGTACATACACACACATACATACATACACATAGACATACATACATACATAATGTACATAGACTTAGACTTAGACATAGACAACAATTACTAGACATACATACATATATAATATAACTTAAACACATGTCTAACTAAATACACTCTTTAAAAAAACACACCATTAAGTTGTTATTTGACTGAAAAACCTAAATTGACTTTTAATCAAATATTCAATAAGTGTTTTACAACAACAAGTAATTTATTGATTAATACAATAGAGTAAAACAAAAAAAATCTATTTAGCATAATATGTTTTAGCTATTAGTTATGTTATACACACACACAAAAAACTAATACATAATTAAACGTTAAAATGAGAAAATAAAAATATTTTCAAAAAATATTTTCGTTTATCAAAAAAAATGATTGGAAATGTGATATTCAATACACAATACTTTTGTTAGATATATATATATATTTGTTTATTATTATTATTATTATTATTATTATTTGAGTTGTTTTTAATATTTTGATGTCACGATTTTTTTAAAAAGTCAAATAATCAAAAAAAAATTAATTACTATTTGTACTGTAAAATAAAATGAAAAGTATTTAGTTTAGTATTACATAAAAATAATTATTAATATACTTATATTGAATTTAAATTAAATTGTTTTCACTAAAATATTGTATGTGAAAGTTTATTATAACATGATTTTATTTATTGTAATATATTTTCTCAAGTTATTATTAATTATTTACATAAAATATTATACACACACATATATATATATATATATAATTATATTTTTATTTTTATTTAATATTCACAACAAATAGTCAAATTGTTAATTGATTTTATTTGTTAATTTGTATGTGTGTGTGAATTTTTTATTTTTAAAAAAAGTTAAATTATGTATTTAATTAGTACAATATTATAATATTTTTATAGATATTATTTATGAAAAATAATTTTCAATATAGTATATATATATAAGTTATTAATTATATAGTTTTTTAGTATATATGAAAATATATTATATAATCTACTATAATTATAAACATAAAAAATATAATACAATACCACGTTTTTTTGTTTTTTAAATGTTGTATTAATAATTTGAAAATAACTTAATACTTAAATAATTTAATATCATTTGAAAATAATCTATAAAAATTTTATGCTAAAATTTGTATATTAATAATTTTGTTTTTTTAAAAAATATAATCAATTTTTTATTTACTAAATAAAACTAGCATTTCAATAAAAATTATTTATCAATAATTTGAAATTACAAAAAAAACTGATTAAATTGTGTACAATATATATATATTGCAATGTAGTTATCAATTATGCAAATGAGTTAAATATATTAAACAAGAAATCAAACAATTATTTTTTATAGTACTGTATTATTATGTATTGAATAATAAATATTATCATAATTTTATAATATATAATAATATTATTATTGAATATTATTGCTTGATTGGCCTACAAAATGCTATTTATTATTAATAATAATAATATTAATAAAATATGTACATCATTATGACCTATTTACAAATATATGTGAATTTATATATATGATGAAAAAAAATTATTGAAAAAAAATTATTAAATTTTATTTATTGATGAAATAAACAAAATAAAAATCATTTAATATTGTCAACAACAACAAAATTTCTCTAAAGTAATATAATACAAAATATTTTTTATACTGAATATATATATACATAGTATATATATAATAAATATTATTTTATAATATTTTGTATTTATTGAAAAAAATATTAAAAAATTATTTTACTACTATTTTTTGTTGTTGAAAATATTTTTAAATAATTTTTTTATTTGAATGTATAATAAACACCTACTACTACTAGCTTATGATTTATTTATAAATTGAATAATAATAATGCACACACACTGTATGAATAATTTAAAAATATATATTTTTATTAATAAAACAAAACAATTTTTTTTATTAACAAAAACAATACAAAAAAAATTTGTTTTAACAGGATTTGCAATCATATTGACATTAAGTCAATCAAAATCATTGAATAAAAGGAGTAAACGGGAGGCCTGGCTGTTACCTGACGGTGCCGAGCTTTTGTTAACGGTATGTCCTAATAATAATAATATAAAAGATATTTTATATATTTAAAAATATTAAATTTAATTTTAATACTACTATTAATATTTTATGATAATAATAATAACTAAAAATTAATACTAAATAAATATTTCCAAATGGAATCCAATTATTGATTTGAATAGTATTTTTAAAAATAAATAAATTTATTAAATTATTTTTTATTTAATCAAATAATATATCATAAATCATAGTTTGATTTTAATAATATAAAAATATCAAATTTTATTTTTTTTTAAAATAAATAAATATTTAAAGTGCTTTTAATAATAATAATAATTTAATAAATTTTTATTATATTATTATTAGAATTATATGATTATAATACAGTGATATTTAAAAATATAGGAAATATATTATAAATACTTTTTTAAAATGCTTATTATAATACTGAAATAACTTATTGTATTATATATTCAGTATATAACAATCTATCAATTTGCTTATATTATTCTATAATTATTCAACAATATATATTAGTAAATTTTTTCAACAACAACAACAAAAAATACCCTAAAATTGATTGATAACTTATTATAAAGCAAAATAAATACTATAATAGATATCTATCATTGATTACTAATTTAAACTATCTATTGTATTATATATATATATAAAGAGATATACGCTATTTATAACACAAATTATATAAATATTATAATCATAAAATTATTATTATTTAAAAGAAAAAAATAATTGATAATTGGATTCATTTAAAAACATTGTTTTTTTGTTTTCATAATAATTGAATTTTATTTTTAAAATTTTTTGTTTTTGTTTTAATTATCAATTTTTTGTTGTTGTTGTGTCTATCATACCGTTACCGCCGACAAACAATAGAGTCAATTGAATACCGGCTTCCAGTGCAGTGAAGACGGCTATTATGCCGATGTGGACAACAATTGCCAAGTATTTCACGTATGCCATCAGCAAACCGATCCGGAAGGTCGGGCCATAATGAATCACTGGACCTTCCTGTGCGGCAATCAAACCATTTTCAACCAACTGACCCAGACATGCGCTTTCGAAGAGGAATCGGTTCCCTGTTCGATGGCACCACAGTTTTTCAATCTAAATCAACGATTAGGCGATCCGAAAGTCCAGTTCCTCGACGACAATGATATTGCCTCGGGTTATGCATTGTATCCGTCGCAAAAAATTGCCAACTAATCTAATAATATTATTAATTAATTAATTAATTAATTAATATAATAATAATAAAATCTAGTTTTTTTTAATAATAATAATTATAATAATAATTTTTAGTTACTTTCATTTAAAAAAAAATCAATTATATATATTTTTTTCTATATATATATTTATAGATTTTTGTGTGTGTGTGTGTGTGTATGGATTATCATTATTATTATTATTATTAATTCAATAAGTATGACTTGAATGCAATATATTATTATATAATATTAATATATATATATATATATATATATAAATAATTAATTAGGTATTATTGGTTTAAAGTATAGAGTTTATTATTATTATTATTTTATTAAAATATCATTTATATGTTAGTGTATATCAAATATGAGATGATTTTTGTTTATTGAATTTGTTTTTTATATAATATATTTAGCAATTTTATTATTAATTATTATTATTTTATTATTTGTTAATAACCATAAATATGAAACTACAGCTTTATTATATATTTGGCAATTTTAGTTATATTGATATATTAATTATTATTATTATTTTTATATTAATTATTATCTTATTTACTCTCACATATTATTTCATTTGTAATATACATTATAAACAATTTATAAATATAAATATATATATTTTTTTGTTATCGTTTTTAAAAACTATAAATACATTTAATTTTATTCAAAAAATATATTGTTTAAATTTTTTATTATAAAATACTATTTTAAAATAAAATAATTATTTTTTCTTAAAAAAATAAAATATAATTTATGTAAATTAAACAAAATCATTGATAAATTTTAATTAAAAAATATAAAAAATTGTTCTAATAAGTATTAATAATAAACATAATTATATATATATATATTTTGTTTGTTTAAAATAAACAAAAAAAAATATTTAAAATACAAAACAAACATTTTGAAAAACATCCAAAAAATTTAAATAATTATTTTATATATCTATATATATAAAATTATTTACTAATTGTGCTATTATTTGAAATTAGGTTTTTATCTAAATATAGACCACGTTTTGTTTGAATTTATAGGGATTCACAAAATAAAAATCATTAATTATTATTATTATTGTATTTATATTTAGTATAATTTTTATTTTATTTTTTTTGAATATCTTTACACTAAATAGTTTTTAGTAAAATATTTATTTTAGAAACTTATATTTATTATTTATTTTTTTATAAACACAATTTTATTCAAATATTTTATTCAATTAAAAATAACTTAGTAAACATTTTAGTATTTTCTTTGTAAAAATTGTTTTTTTAAATAAAATTATAGCACAATAAAAAGTAAGTACAACAATTTTTTTTACTACTAACTAATAAAAAAACTTAAAAATGTTTATTTATTTATTTAGAAAAAATTTCACATTTTATTATTTAATAAAAAAAAAGTTATAAATAATTAAATAAATTAAAAAGTTTGTACATTTTTACAATAAATTAAAAACATACTCTACTTTAATAAACTAAACATTATATATATTTTTATAACATTTAATAAACTATTATTTTTTTAAATAAAACAATTTTATATATTTTATTAAATTATTTGCCACAAATATTTTTTTATAGATATTTATTTAGTTGTAAAGTATAAATATAACTATAAATATAAATAACATTAATAATTAAATTAAAAACTAATACTATTTATAATATTAGCTACTTTTATAATGACTTGATTGGCAATGTATTTTTTTGTTTGTATATATTATTAATTAATTAATTTAACAATATATAATTAATATGATATGAATTTATATTTATATATAATATGTCTAAACTATATTAAATATCATATATAATAATAAATTATAATAATTTCTATCAATTAAATAAATAAATAAATAAAATAATAATAATATTAATTAAAAAACACTAAAAACATTAACAACTAGTTTTTTTTGGGAAAACATTTGGTCATAAAATAGTAATTAATAATTATTTTTTAAAAAAAACTATTTGAAATAAAACAATTAACTATAACTATTAAAATAATTAAACAAAATAATTGATTGATTGGCGATTATTATCATATAATCATCAGCTCTTTTTGTTGTCACTATAATCATCGTTATAGTTATCATTGTTGTTGTCGGTGTCCACTGAGTCTACGGCACACAAAATTACCCGCAAATCACCGAAATGTACGGACACTGCTTGCGAATGACATTCGGGTACATCTTCGCCGTGAAACAGATTATGACCCAAAACACAGGCCCACTCGTAGCCATACGTAGCCGACAAGTGACTGGTTATCCCGCGGGCAATATCGATAAACGTATCGAAACGGTAGATATTTTCGATGGCCACCCGTACCACTTGATTCCGGGTTTTCGTTTCCAACGAGTTATAGTCGATAATCGGATGGTATAGATGGGAACGGGCGCTCAGTATTACCTCATGAGGTTCAACCTATATATATATGTGTGTGTGATTATATAACATATATTATTAGTTGATATATATATATATATATATATTAAATAACATCATCACATAACTTGTCAATCAATATAATAATAATAATAATGTTAATTATTATTATTATTTGTTATAAAACTTGAAATATAAATTTTATGGATATAATATCTAAATAGTTTTAAGTTGTTGTTATAAATATTTTTTAAAAATAAATTTACTAAAATTATTATAATATTGCTATTATAACTAATAATAATTAAATAATTTAGACTTTTTTTTAAAAAACATAAAAATGTTAATCTATTTAATACTATTGAATATTTGCGGAAACTTATTAATATTTTTATACATCTAATGTATTATTTAATTGTATTATATATAAGGATTATATATTTATTTTTAAATTCATCTTAATTAACATTTTTTTAAATAATATAATTATCAAAAAAGTTACTAAATTATTAAAAATTTGATGATAAGATAAAAAAGATATGATAACTAAATTTCAAAATTTTTTTCCCCATAATTAAAAAATTAAATTTGTTTAAATGCTGACATATCTATATATAAAAATAAAATAATAACTCAATTATGAAAAAAATCACTTGAGATTACATTTGATATCAAATAAAATTGATGACAATCAAAATTACTTAAAAAAATTATTGATTGCTTATCAGTTACTGGAAAATTTGTTTAATTTGAAATGCAATTAGTATGCAATAAAAGTGTAAATTGTTTATTGTTTAATATATATTACTATCAAAAATATTTTTGATAATAAGTAAAAATTATTACTACTAAGTGTGTTTGCGTGTGTTTTTTGTTGTTGAATATTAATTCAATTAATATATAGTATATATATATACAGGTTATAGATATAAATTAATTTTCAAAAAAATGTATATATGTATAGAAATAAATCATATTAGTTATTATTATTATTATTATTTTTAATAATACTAATATATAAAACTAATAAAACTATTTTTATACTTTAAAAAAAAGTTAGGTGTGTGTGTGTGGGAGGGGGTATATGGGTTGGTGTGTCTGTGTCATAGGTATGTGTGTGTGTGTGTGTGTGTGTGTGTGTCTATGGTATGAGTAGTACCCACCTGTTTCATGATCTGAAACAAAACGACCTGTGCGTCGCCAAAACTAAATCCCAGATAAGTACCGGCCATATAATTGAAACGTGCATTAAACCCGTGCGGACCGATAACACACTGCCAGTACGGGCCGTGCATTTGGTCGAAAACGGCCGAAATATTTCCTGAAATCTTATCGTAAGTATTGTACTCCTGGAAGGCAATGATGGCTGTAGTGATTGCCTGGGCTTTCATTGTTTCACTCATTTCGCAGTCAATTACTTTTACTTTGTTTTTATCCGTCCGACGGGCGTCTCTGCAGTTAATTAAATAATTATTAATATAAATAATAATAATAATTAATAATATCAACTAAAATATTGTAATTATTAATTAGTTTTTTTTGATTGGTATATATTTTTGTATATGAAAAACAATAACAAAAAATAATTAATAAAAATTTTGTTAAAAATTAATTCAAAATTAGTTACAATTAAATTTTTTTTAAATAATATTATAGATTGTTAGCTATTAGTTATATATTGATATATACTGTATATATCGTTAAATAGAAAATGATTTTTTTATAGCTTAGTTGAAATGACAGGTTAAATTAAAAAATATTTTTAAAAATAAATATAAATGTTTGTATGAAAATAAAAATAATTAAAAAATATTAAGGTTTGTATAATAATTTTTATTATTTATTTAAACAAAATTTTTTTAATACATTTTGTTGTTGTTGTTGTTGATTAAAATGTATTAAAATTTGGTATTATATTAGCATAAATTTTTGTTAATAGTATTATTAAAATAAATCACTAAAAATATTTTATTTATAAATTAAATATATATATATATATATAAATTATATATATATTACTGAAAATACTGTAACTAGATTACTATAATATAATTTTATAAAAACAAATAATAAATATATAAGTGATATCTATAATAAATAAAACTTTATATATATATATATTTATAAAATATATTTTCTACTTATATGAAAATTATTTATAACTTTATAACTTACTATATGATATAAAATGATACACAAATATATTTATTAAAATAAAACAAAATTAGATTATAACAATAACAATAAAATCATAATTTAGTATTATTTAATATAACAATGCATATTATTTGATAGATTTATATAAAATATCATTTACCAAATGATATAACTAATTTTTTATTACTATATAAATAATTACAATTTAACTCATTTAATACCAAAGATAATACTAAAATAATTTTTGTTATCGTTATAAAATCGATTTAGAAAATAAAAACAACAATAATATTCATTAATAATAGTATCTATTTTTAAATATATATATATATATTTTTTAAAAAATAATAAATTTTAAAAACAAACAAAAATTAATAGTTTAAAATGAAACTTAGTTACCATATAAATGTCAATTTATATCTAGTCTAATAAAATAATAATAATACAT